TTTTGAAATGTTTTCCTCCTTGTGTCTTCTCTGTTCCTTCTTCCTGTGTTTGCCTTCCTGTCTTAGTTTCCCTGGTGTGTCTGATTGTTTGATTGTGTTCACCTGTTGCCCTTGTGTTTCTGCCTCCCTTACCCCAGCTGTGTCTCGTCTTGTGATTACCCCTCTCTGTATTTAGTCTTGTCTTCCCCTGTGTGCCTTGTCGGTTCATTGTTGGTTTTTCCTGTCTTCCTCCATGTCAGTCATGTTTGTTTCTCCTGTCTCCCACCATGTTGGTCACGGTCAGTTTTCTGTAGAACCTATGTGTTTCATGCCATGCTATTGTTAAGCTTTGAGAATAAAGCTTGTTTTTGTTTCGAGACCGTTTACCTTTTCTGATAGTCTGCATTTGGGTCCTACCCTTCCACGCATTCCTTACAGAATGAACCGACCAATTATGGACCCAGCAGATTATGTTTTTGATTTTGATGCTGAATTGCTTTCTCTGGATTACTCCCTTCGATGTCTTTATACTGTGTGGAGTGGAACCTCGACTAGCAGGGAGAAAGAGGCTGTCCTGAAAAGAGCACAAATGGAGGTGGATAATGTGCCATGGCTGAGGAGCTCGTTGCCTGAATTTCTCAGAGTTTTTTCGCGTAGCCCTGAGTGCCAGTCTCCATTCTCTGATCCTTTTTTGGGATCCCGCCTGGCGTTTGGAGGTCCACGGAGCCTCCAAAAGACCTCAAAGAGACGCAAGGCCAGGATTCAAGCCGTGGCCCCAGCAGCCATGGTTCCAGCCCCAGCAGCCATGGTTCCGTCCCCATTTCCTGCTCCTGTCCAGGAGCCGTTCTCGGGCACTCGTCTGGCTTTTGGAGGTCCACGGAGCCTCCAAGAAGCTCATAAGAGGAGTCGCAAGTCCAGGCTAGCAGCCCGAGCCCCAGAAGCCATGCTTTGGGCTCCAGTGCAGGCCCCAGCAGCCATGGTTCCGGCCCCAGTTCTGGCCCCTGCAGCCATGGTTCCATGCCCAGCAGCCAGGGTGCCTGCTCCAGTACCGGCCCACACAGTCATGGTTCCGTGCACCAGTACCGCCCCACACAGTCATGGTACCGTGCTCCAGTACCATCCCACACAGCCATGGTTCCGTGTTCCGGTTCCGTGCCCAGCAGCCAGGGTGCCTGCTCCAGAACCGGCCCATACAGCCATGGTTCCAGCCCCAGTTCTGGCCCCAGCAGCCATGGTTCTAGCTCCAGAACCGGCCCATACAGCCATGGTTCCAGCCCCTAGTTCTGGCCCCAGCAGCCATGGTTCCGGCCTCTGTTCCGGTCCAGCACGCCATTTCCCATCAGGGAAATCTTCTGGGCCAACATGAGCAGACGATGCGAGCCTTAGTTGAAAGCCAGCAGTCCTTGGCTCGTCTCCTGTTGGCTCTACGGCCGACGCCTACCCTATGTCCTGTGCCGTTGGAGGTCCCGCCGACTACTCTCCTGCCGGGGGTCTTGCCAACTCCATGTCCTGTCCCATTGGGGGTCCCGCCGACTACTCTTCTGCCGGGGGTCCTGCCAACCCTATGTCCTGTGCTGTTGGAGGTCCCGCCGACTACTCTCCTGCCGGGGGTCTTGCCAACCCTATGTCCTGTGCCGTTGGAGGTCCCGCCGACTACTCTTCTGCCGGGGGTCCTGCCAGCCCTATGTCCGGTGCTGTTGGAGGTCCCGCCGACTACTCTCCTGCCGAGGGCCCTGCCAACTCCACGTCCAGTATCGTTGGAGGTCCTGCCGACACCTGTTCCGCTGTGGGTCCTGCCAACCCCATGTCCTGTCCCGTTGGGGGTCCCGCCGACAACTGCTCCGCCAGGTTTCCTGCCAACACCAGATCCTGTTCTGTTGGGGGTCCCGCCGACACCTGTCCCGCCGGGGGTCCTGCCAACTCTGTGTCCTGTTCCGTTGGGGGTCCAGTCGACACCAGCCCTTGCTACATCCGGGGTCCCATTGACACCAGCCCATGTCTTGTTTGGGGTCCCGTCTGCGCCTGTCCGGTCGGCTCCGGTTCCTGTCCGGCCGATACTGGTTCCTGCTCGTCCTCCGGAGCTGTCCCGTCGGCGCCTTCCTGCCCGGCCTCCGGAGCTGTCCCGTCGGCGCCTTCCTGCCCGTCCTCCGGAGTTGTCCCGTCGGCGCCTTCCTGCCCGTCCTCCGGAGCTGTCCCGTCGGCGCCTTCCTGCCCGTCCTCCGGAGCTGTCCCGTCGGCGCCTTCCTGCCCGGCCTCCGGAGCTGTCCCGTCGGCGCCTTCCTGCCCGGCCTCCGGAGCTGTCCCGTCGGCGCCTTCCTGCCCGGCCTCCGGAGCTGTCCCGTCGGCGTCTTCCTGCCCGTCCTCCGGAGCTGTCTCGTCGCCGCCTTCTGGTTCGCCCTCGAGCCCGGCCCCCTGAGTGCCGCAGTCTTCGCCCTCGGGCTCGGCCTCCTGATTCTTCCAGCCGCTGCCTTCGCCCTCGAGTCCAGCCCCCTGAGTTTGCCCGCTGTGGCCGTCGCCCCTTTTTGGACTCTGCCTTGCCCCCGGGCCGTCCGCCCGGGACCCCTTTCGGGCCCGTCCTCCGGACCCCCTCCACCCACCCTTTTGGAAGTATTAGACTATGTTTTTTGGGACGTCTGGGATCCGTCCCTTGAGGGGGGGGGTTATGTCACGATCTGTCTGTGTTGTGTTTTGTCTTGTCTTTTTCTGTCTCTGGTTCCTGTTTTGTTTTGAAATGTTTTCCTCCTTGTGTCTTCTCTGTTCCTTCTTCCTGTGTTTGCCTTCCTGTCTTAGTTTCCCTGGTGTGTCTGATTGTTTGATTGTGTTCACCTGTTGCCCTTGTGTTTCTGCCTCCCTTACCCCAGCTGTGTCTCGTCTTGTGATTACCCCTCTCTGTATTTAGTCTTGTCTTCCCCTGTGTGCCTTGTCGGTTCATTGTTGGTTTTTCCTGTCTTCCTCCATGTCAGTCATGTTTGTTTCTCCTGTCTCCCACCATGTTGGTCACGGTCAGTTTTCTGTAGAACCTATGTGTTTCATGCCATGCTATTGTAAAGCTTGTTTTTGTTTCGAGACCGTTTACCTTTTCTGATAGTCTGCATTTGGGTCCTACCCTTCCACGCATTCCTTACAAAATGTAATTGAGAATGCAGTTTAGTTCTGTGGGAACGTCATTTTTAGGAGACAGGGTTGTTTTGTACAATAATGCAGGTTTTCTGCTATCTTTGATGAGAGATAAAATGATGTTTTGCAATACGTTCTTAGTGAAATTGATACTGTTGGACTCAGTACTACTTGGACTACTACCACAAGTACAATCAAGTACTTTTACTGTGTACTTTTTGAGTAATCCCCTGTCAAACTCCCCTCCAGACTACAATAATGCATGTTTTCTGCTATCTTTGATGAGAGATAAAATTATTTTTTGCAATACGTTCTTAATAAAATGGATACTGTTGGACTCAGTACTACTTGGACTACTACCACAAGTACAATAACGTGCTTTTACTGTGTACTTTTTGAGTAATCCCCTGTCAAACTCCCCCCCTGAGTACAATAATGCATGTTTTCTGCCATCTTTGATGAGAGATCAAATAATTTTTTGCAATAAGTTCTTAATACAATTGGTACTGTTGGACTCAGTACTACTTGGACTACTACCACAAGTACAATCAAGTACTTTTACTGTGTACTTTTTGAGTAATCCCCTATCAAACTCCCCTCCAGAGCACAATAATGCATGTTTTCTGCAATCTTTGATGAGAGATAAAATGATTTTTTGCAATACGTTCTACATGAAATGTATACTGTTGGACTCAGTACTACTTGGACTACTACCACAAGTACAATCAAGTACTTTTACTGTGTACTTTTTGAGTAATCCTTTGTCAAACTCCCCTCCTGAGTAGTCCAAGTAGTACTGAGTCCAACAATATCAATTTCACTAGGAACTTATTGCAAAAAATCATTTTATCTCTCATCAAAGATAGCAGAAAACATGCATTATTGTACTCATGGGTGGAGTTTGACAAAGGATTACTCAAAAAGTACACAGTAAAAGTACTTGATTGTACTTGTGGTAGTAGTCCAAGTAGTACTGAGTCCAACAGTATCAATTTCACTAAGAACATATTGCAAAAAATCATTTTATCTCTCATCAAAGATATCAGAATACATTAATTTGTGTACTCAGGACAGGAGTTTAAACGAGTATTACTCAAAAAGTACACAGTAAAAACACTTGACTGTACTTGTGGTAGTAGTCCAAGTAGTACTGAGTCCAACAGTATCAACTTCATGTAGAACTTATTGCAAAAAATCATTTTTATCTCATCAAAGAGGGCAGACAACATGCATTATTGTACTCAGGAAGGGAGTTTGACAGGGGATTACTCAAAAAGTACACAGTAAAAGTACTTGATTGTACTTGTGGTAGTAGTCCAAGTAGTACTGAGTCCAACAGTATCCATTTCATGTAGAACGTTTTGCAAAATAATAATTGTATCTCTCATCAAATATAGCAGAAGTGGCATGATTTTGTTCTCAGGAGGGGAATTTGAGAGTATTACCCAGAAAAAACACAGTAAAAGTACTTCATTTTATTGTTGGTAGCAGTCAAACTAGGACTGAGTCAAACAGTGTCAGTTTTATTAAGAAGTTATGATAACAATTATTTGTATCGCAAATAAAACAGAAAAAACATGCATTATTTTACTCTTGTACTACTGTCAGTGCCGCTTCTCGGTGATTACCGTAAAGATGCTATTAATCGCGCACTCAAAAATGAAGAGCTGCTCATTTGACTAAGCAAATGCGAGAGACGGCTGAGTTGACCGCAGTGCAGTTAAAGACTGTCATATTGTCGTCTCACTGGGTCTGTGGATAGACGGTCTAATAAACTCTCCAGTGTAGGTCTATCATAGACCTACACTGGAGAGTTTACTTTATTTTAAAACATGACATGGTAACTAATGGCGGGACAACTGCAGCTGTAATGTTGCAAAATCATATCTCAGAAATAGTTAAAACGTCTTAATTTTCGGTTTCGCTGAACTAGCTCCCTCCCACTTTCAGCACTTCTCTTTTCCACAGAGGCATTGCGCTTTTACGCACAGTCTCTGCCACTGTGGAGGAGAGCGGAGCGCCATGAGGACCGTAAGTGTGTGAGAGTGTTGCTGCACCGTGCAACAAGATGATCCTGCTGCCTATTCTGTTGTCTTGTCTCTGGGGAGAACCGAGTCGGTGCCTGGCGGAGGTCGGAGGCTTCACCACTGAAAAAAACATCCGCCACTTCGCCGTGGCCACCAATACGGTTTACGTCGCTGCGGAAGATAAGCTGTACCAGCTGAACCACGACCTGACTTTGGTTCAAAATCTGACCCTGAGAGGTATCCTGAAGAACGATGCGCGGTTTTACCGGGGTTCTGTGACAAACGAATCGAATGCAACTTTCAGCGTGAACATATTGTTGCCGTTTGTTATAAATGGCACTCTGGTCAGCTGTGGTGTTATCGAGTGCGGGTACTGCGAGTGCGGGTACTGCGAGGTGTTGGACCTGAAGAACATTTCAAATGTTCTGTACAGGGAACACATCCAGGTGGGGTCTCCATTGCGCAACAGTGCGTCTGTCGGCTTCCTGGTGAATGAAGAGGGAAAGCATGCTTACATTCTGGCTGCCTTACAGAAAGACGTAACGAAATCCACAGGGAGCAGCTGTCCCACTGGACCAGAAGCCGTGCACCTTCATAACACCAATAACATCCAGAGAGGATCTATTTTTTCTACTGTTGGCGAGCACAATACCCATGTGATCAAACGTGAGGGCAGTGTGGAGTTTGTAGATGGGTTTCAGATCAATTCCATAATTTATCTGTTCTCCAACTTACCCTCAAGAAACACGGTCCGTCTCATTTGGCTCGAGGGCAAAGCGACTAAGAAGCAGACTCTGGAGTCTCTGCGGGGCGCGAACCTCAGCCTCTCCGCGGATGGAGGGAGAGGCGGAAGACTCCTCTCCTCCTCTGTGATTCCGGGGGGGCCGCCGGTGCTCTGGAGCGGCGTGTTCAGTGTGGACGGAGGAAAGACCAACACCGAGCTGCTGCTGTTTGACATCAGCCCGGATCTCAACATGACGGCCGATGCAGATCCGGACTTCTGCAGTGTGTGCCCCGTGAAGAAAACGAAGACGGTGGGTCCTTAGAGTCATTTGTTACATATGTTTCCCCTGGGAAAAACATTAGAATATGACGAGACTAATACTACTAATAATAATAAAAACAATAATAATAATATCAATAATGAATGTATTTATATTCAATTAAAGAAAATTAGCGAATTAATTAATTAAATAACAATGTCAGACGTACCAAGCACATAATTAAAGTTTATACTTAATTTCAAGCATTACCACAATGTAACCTAATACAAAAATATGATTATTTAAAATTCATTTGAAAATGCATTCTATTATTATATATATGCATATATGAGGAAAGCACTACATTGCGTCCTGATCTGATCATTTTATGGTAATGTTTTAAGAAAGGTGAGTTGTACATTTTCGAGGCTCTTGTGGAGTTGACTGCTATAGAAATGTTGTATAAAAGAATGACCGCAGTCACTGCACTTGTATCAGCTACAAAGGTACTAATTCATTATCAGCAAATTAGTTAGCATCCTATTTATATACTTAATTAGATGCATTTAGCGGTGAACAACAGTGGCAAATATAGTGGCATTTGATTGGAAATCTAAATGTAAACACATTCTGTTTGTGCATTACTTGTTACAACATTACATTTAATTTTCTTAAATTCTGTCCAATTATAATCCAAACCAGTTTGGACCTGGTAGACATTTAAATAAAAGTAATGTTGAATGGGATATGTACCCAAATAAATGATATATCATATGCAGATGCCAGCACTGCAGCTCGACAGGGCGACATTATGAAATGTTAAAATAAAAAATAAATACATGTGATTTCCCGTAACTACACCTAGTAACCTAGCGATGCATTTAACTGAGATTCAAGTAATGATAAGCTTTTTCAAGTATTATATTTAAAGCTTTCGTCTTCATGAAACAGTAAATACCTGTTGGATTCAGGTTTGATGATGAGCGTCTGTGTCTCTCAGGCAGAGACATTGAAGCCGAAGGTGGTGCTGTTCAGGCAGAAGTCCATGACCTCTGTGCTGGCAGTGAGACACAAGGCCTGGATGGTTTTCTTCATTGGGACGGGAGATGGTCAGCTCATGAAGGTGTGTATAACTAGTGATAACTATCAATGCCTAGAATACTTCAACAACACAGATGATAGTATGAATTGAATGCTCTCTTAAACTAACCAGTGTCTATGGAATAACTTAAAGGGGACCTATCATGCAAAATGCACTTTTGTACGTCTTTTATACATGAATATGTGTCCCCGGTGTTCCAGGGAACTCACCAAGTGTCAGAAAACACAACCCTCTCTATTTTCCTCCATACCCAAATCTCTAAAAAAGGGGCTGCAACGGATCTGATAAAAACTGATCCAGATTTGAACACTTCTATGTCGTCACAGAGGTGGCGCTACGGCTATTGGGCCAACTCTCCACCTATCAGGGGAATGTGGGGTTGGGCCACGGCCGGCCATTGCCGCTCGAAAGCGCTGGAGACGCTGTAGTACATATGCCAGGCCTGTAAGTGGCGCTGTAGTCTGCCACAAAAGCAGCGAAGAAGACTTCCCGCCCATAGTTACCATGGTTACCCTTCTGTTTATTCTCCGCTGTGGCTTTTTTTCTGCCTCCCCGAGGCAAGCGTTTGCTCCCGCTGCTTTAATTCAATGCAATCCCTCCCCGTCGAGGCAAGCACTGTAATTATCTCCGGTTAGTCCACCAGCAGATGACAAACACCCACCTCTCCGCCTCTTCCAAGGAACGAGGGGACCGTGCGGCAGAGTTTCAGTTTCTTTCGCCGGTCAAGATGTCCGTTAAAGTTTAAATCTTCCGGACAAAATTAGAAAAGTGCCGGTCAAAGGTCTTCTTTGTTATTTATTGAGCTTTAAAACAAATGAATAACGACTCTATAGGCCTATAATAATATAATAAAACCATAGACTGTATATATAAATAAAACACGGAGGACGGAGATCTTTTTTTCTCCCCCTCTGACTTGATCAGAGCACGGCTTCCCTCTCCTGCAGGGGGGCGTGGTCAGCTGCAGCTCACAGAGATCAGCCCCGTAGACAGCAAAGAGCACATAGAGCGAAATGAGGCATGGCTAAAATGCATGATCTGTTTGGTATTTTGAAAACAGAAACGTATAAATATACCTTATATAGGTATGGCCCTACAATATATCATTTAAATATAGCATGATAGGTCCACTTTAATAAAGTCACAAAAAAAATCTTTATATATATATATTTCCTGAACAACAGTGTTTTTTTAATGACAGTTAGAAGGGTGATGCTCCAAAAGAAGTAATATTCTCTTAAAAGCTTCCATTACAACTTTGAATTTTTTGAACTTTGGAACCATAATGTGATTTATTTGATGGGGTTGAGTGCAAAATACATTGGTAAATTTACATTTCAGTCTTCTTAGTGACGTATAAAAAATAATTTCCAATTTCTTGTTTTAGTCAAGACCCCCTTCTTGATGTTGTCCAACTCCTAGATACAACTATTGATATGCCCTAGAAACTCTTTATACCGTAAGTGCTCCCTCGCAGGATTAAAGACTCAAACATAAGTCTCCGCTGTAACCCGCTCCTGGACACAATAGGCTCTTTCATGCTGAGTTTACTCTTACAAGTTTCCATAAAACCCCTTGGTGTTTCTCCCAGCGTGCAGCTAAGAGAGAATAATTGCTTTTTTATTGACTCAATGACAAATGTAACACATGAGGTAAAGACCTCTGATAGTTTGTAGAAGAAATGACCAGTCTTTCCTTTTATGCGATTTTATGTGTGGTGTACACCTAAATGGAAGCTGACATTGTATGAGACAAACTATGCATTTTGCCATAATCATCATCTCGCTCAGTGTACAGAGTGTAATACTGTTTAACGCCTGTCCTATTTATCATGAAATCAAATGTGATGCAACACATCCTGTAGTGGGACAGCAGGCTCACTGACATGTCACTATGGCTGTTTACAGGGTTGAGTGGAGCAGGACTAACCACTAACCAAACTAATGAGAAGAAAGCCACTTATTGACCCCACAACAAACCCACTTCCTGCCCTTTACCTATAAATATCTTAGATCCATGTAACAGTTCAACAGAGGCACAGCCGAATTGCAGAAGAAAGAGTTCAAGGCCATTTTACTGCAGTATTTGTCACTTAAAGGGGACCTATCATGCAAAATGCACTTTTGTACGTCTTTTATACATGAATATGTGTCCCCGGTGTTCCAGGGAACTCACCAAGTGTCAGAAAACACAACCCTCTCTATTTTCCTCCATACCCAAAAAAGGGGCTGCAACGGATCTGATAAAAACTGATCCAGATTTGAACACTTTACTGACGTCAGTAAAGTGGCGCTACGGCTATTGGGCCAACTCTCCACCTATCAGGGGAATGTGGGGTTGGGCCACGGCCGGCCATTGCCGCTCGAAAGCGCTGGAGACGCTGTAGTACATATGCCAGGCCTGTAAGTGGCGCTGTAGTCTGCCACAAAAGCAGCGAAGAAGACTTCCCGCGCATAGTTACCATGGTTACCCTTCTGTTTATTCTCCGCTGTGGCTTTTTTTCTCCCTCCCCGAGGCAAGCGTTTGCTCCCGCTGCTTTAATTCAATGCAATCCCTCCCCGTCGAGGCAAGCACTGTAATTCTCTCCGGTTAGTCCACCAGCAGATGACAAACACCCACCTCTCCGCCTCTTCCAAGGAACGAGGGGACCGTGCGGCAGAGTTTCAGTTTCAGTTTCTTTCGCCGGTCAAGATGTCCGTTAAAGTTTAAATCTTCCGGACAAAATTAGAAAAGTGCCGGTCAAAGGTCTTTTTTGTTATTTATTGAGCTTTAAAACAAATGAATAACGACTCTATATAATAATAGGCTATAATAAAACACGGAAGACGGAGATCTATTTTTCTCCCTCTCTTCTGACTTGATCAGAGCACGCTCCCCTCTCCTGCAGGGGGGCGTGGTCAGCTGCAGCTCACAAAATCAGACCCCTGCAAAAACAGTGCTGGAAAACAACAAATAGAGCGAAATGAGGCATGGCTTAAAATCATGATCTGTTTGGTATTTTGAAAACAGAAATGTATAAATATACCTTATATAGGTATGGCCCTACAATATATCATTTAAATATAGCATGATAGGTCCACTTTAATAATTCTCAAGCGACGGCCAGTCAGAACAGGCTAAATAGGTTTACAAATCCGACCCAGGCCACAAAAGTGTTAAGATCCTGAAGCGATTTTAAAATGCGAATGCACCACACATAAAGAGAAACATAACAGATATTCTTATCTCTTATCTGAAAGACGCAACCAAGAGTTGATCAAAGTGTTGCATCACACACTGCAGGGTGTTATCATACCAGAGAGAGCAAGCATCACCTCTAAACTAGGGATGTCCCGATCACCTTTTTTTGCTCCCGATCCGATTCCGATCATTTGATTTTGACAATCTGCCGATACCGATTTTTCCCGATCCGATCTTTATGCAATGCATTAAGAGAAAAAAAAGGAGAAAAGCATTCAAGTTGTCCCTTAAACCCCACGGATAACGGCTGGTCATCCAATGCGATAAATTCAGCTATTCTTGGCTGTTATTTTTTTGGCCTTTTCACTGTTCTGGGGCAGTTTCTCTTTCCTTTTAAAAGTCTCTGAAAGTGTCGGTTGTTTCAGTGCCGTTACCTGAATGGCCGCTGTGTACTTGTCGTGTTGTTGTAGGTGTTTGTTTCTCAGGTGGCGTATTAGATTGGTCGTGTTGAACGTAGCTCTGTTCTTTCCACCACGCGGAACCTCCGCCTTGCAAACATTGCATATGGCTGTTACACTGCCTTCACTTTCAATTTCATAATACTTCCAAACTCCTGACATTTTCTCTGTCCCGGGTCACCAGCTGAACGTAGCCTCTCGTTACACCAGCTGAACGTAGCCTCTCGTTAGCTTACTGCTACTATTAGACACTGCGCCCTGCCCACTCTGTTGCCAGATTTGAGAGAAATAAGCAACCAGGTCTATGAAAATAAGCCCAAAAGAAGCAACACATACATGATGTTGTGTAATTTAAAACCAAAACTAAGGCCTCAGGATGACTTTAAGACGTGGACATGGTCATTTTTGTTTTGTAACATTAAATAAAATAAGAAAAATATTTTATAAAAAAAAAAAAAAAAAAAAAAAAAAATTCCGATCCCCGATTTTTTTCTCCCGATTCCGATCTTTTGAAAATCACGTGATCGGCTCCGATCCCCGATCACGTGATCGGATCGGGACATCTCTACTCTAACCCAATTGTAAACTAAATGGAGACCAGCATAGTGATGTAGTCATGCTTTGGGATGTGAATAAAAAGCAGGAGGCTCAACAGGTCTGAATGAGACAAATGGTTGTGGAGACAGCCAAAGTGGGTGGTCTATTCTTCAGTGATAACTGTGAGTTTAGATATTTGTCAGTACAGTAGCATGCCAGCTAACCACCGCATGGCAACAACAGCATCTGCCATGAATCTTTCTTATTGGCTATTGGAGTCAAACATGTGATGATGTGATCAAACATTAATTAATGTTGATTAATGGAGCAGACCCAATAAAACAATCTGCAAACAGTTTGTGATGTTAGGAACTGGATCTGTTCTCCCACCACCAGATCATCTGAGAGGAACATCCGTACTGTCCTGGGTCCTAAACTAGATTTGTTCTCCTAGTGACAGGGGGGCTGAATCCAAACTCTCTCTGAGTCTGTCTTAAAGGCTGCTGTCTGTATACACTGAGACAGATTGCGAAAATTAGGTGTGGCTGGGCTGATATGTGAGTGGTCAGGTTATTTCCATAGCCAGAATATAGCAGAATCATAACCTGTGCATTGGTAAATGGGAAAGTAGAGCAACACAGTGGAAGTGACATGATGTGAAGATAAGGACAAACGTCCAAATTGAGAAATACTTTTTCTATATTGGTGTGAGATATTAGTGGTGTCAGCGGACAACACATCATCACCATTAGAACAAAAAGGATAATGGATTAAGGTTTTCTTCAACAACCTAAATGGTTTTGGTTATTAGCAAATGGCTGGACATGTGAGAGAGGCCTAAACCACAGACTCACCAGGAAATGCATCTTTCTCTCTCCTGAAACACCACACAGTTTTCTGAAGAAATTGTGGTGTGACAGCTGTAGAGCTGAGTATAAATGCTGGCTTCATTGTGAGAGAAGAAGCTGAGGAAGTATAATTCCGTGGAAGAAACACCCATTGTCATAGGCGGCGCATGAGGCTGTGCGGAGTTTAAAGCTATCAAGTCATATTACAGGAAAAAGGAAATACAGTTTAAACTGCCGTATGCAGGGAAGACGCAGACGTGTCGCACCTATCATTCATTTCACATTATCAATCATATCATATCATAATAGGCTATATCATATATTTCCAGTCAGCTTCTCGAGCCGTATCTGTCCGTGCAACACTTAGTGTCACATACTGTATGCAGAAGTATTATTTTAAGCAACACATTAAGTTGACGAAACACTCAACTCAAATGTAATTAAAGTCAGATCCACTCGTGTCTTAGACGGGGCAATGATATCATAAACCTGTTAATGTACGCATTCAAACCATAGATTCAAACACTCGCTAGTTTAGTTATTTTTTTACCAGCTGTTCTGTATTCACCTTGCAGGTGAAACTATGTGGCTTTTATCCTGGATTATGTGTTTAAGTCATGGATGTTTAAAGTGTAACTTCTTTATATTTGTCTAATATTATAGTTTACTTTTATGTTTAATGAAGTATGACGCTGCGCTTTCAGTGTGCTTGTCCATGTTTGTGATTGGTCAAATGTTGCTAACCCCGCCCCTTTCACGTGAACACGCTCTCCGACGGAAATAGAAACCATGGGTCGATTTACCGAGTTGATAACCAGCGTCGTAGGACCGCTTAGCGAGATCTCGTTTGTTAGGGTTAGTTAAGATAACTCAAACATATCCAGGGTCTGTTGAACTGGTTTCGTAGTACAGGGCACTGGTGGATAGCAGCGCTAATGTCAAAGAAACATACATCACATTTGAATTTGACCAGGATTCAGTGACAAAAATATTTGGGAAGGCTTAGCCTTCCCTAGCCTACAGTACCCGCCGCCCCTGCCCATTGTATTAAAAAGTTGTATACAGCTCCCAATGTGTAAGGATATGATACAGTTCAAGTTTTAAATAGAGCAGTGGACAAAAGTTGTCACTACATAAAAAAACAGCTGAAGACATGACCTCAGTCACCTCAAGATACAGTTACCTTCTGGTGGTTTTATTTTAGCATAGTCCGACTGTCCATAGAAGTTCTGACTGGAGGATCCAAGAGTTCAGGCAGGACTGTGTCTATGACAGTATACCAATGGAACAGGGTAACAATTAATGTCATTGATTACACCTGTGCTAACCCTACTTTTCATACAAACACTTGCAATGCTTCTCAAAATAAACAACAGAATTATAATATGTGTTGAAAAAAATCTGCAGCCAACATACTTGTCACATGTTATGAATTAAATCAAAATAATATTTATGTTGTCACTAACACTGTTATTCTCCTCTGACTGAGATAGTGCTATCAGAAACTCCTTTTGTCCTTACCCTGGTCCAGGTCACCTGGTCTGCCCTGGCGTTGCCATACAAGCTTACAGCTGGTTGCTCTTTGAACATGAATGTCATGGTTTTAAATGATATATTTATATTGAGAGTATTTCCTTTACTCCAGCAAGCAAAAAAAACCTTTTAATCCAATCAGTAAACCATAACTTTGATAATTAACAGCAGGGCACCTCTGTCTGTCAAAAACCTGACAAAGCTGCGTTCCTGTTGTCAGCTTTCTGTGGACCAGAACTTTCAGAGCTCCTGTCCCAGGGTGCTCTACAGGGCCGATAATGACCGCAGAGTGTTTCCCAAAATGCATCTGGATCCAGTGGATCTTAAACATGTGTACATGTCATTCGAAAACCAGGTAGGTGCTTTTACATGTACAGTACAATGTGTAAAGCGAGCACTGGAGATTATAAACGTTTTTCAGATTTGTTTGTGTTTAAAAAGTGTTGTTAGATTGCTATGTTTGTGATTTGTCCTAGATGAAGCGTGTAGCTGTGTCAAAGTGCGGCACATATACAGATGTGCAGGCCTGCTGGTCTGCACAGGATCCTCACTGTGTCTGGTGCGCGTCTACCATAAGGTCAGGAACACAACACCTGCACGCCAGTCCTTCAAACAAACATAAGTATCATACTCTCTATTAAAATGTCATTTTCTCTTGCATAGTTGCACATTTGAAGATGACTGCCCAAATTCAGACTGGTTATCCATCCCTGATGATTCTCAACAGAAAATGGTTTCCTACAAAGTTATGAAGGACAGCACTGGCCAGGTAGAGATTATATTAATATTGAAATATAATGACAATAATCATCATGTATGACTGTCAGTTATTGGTTTTACACTCACATCATTCCTCTCTCAGGTCACACTAAACATCCACACACACCTGACTGTGGGACGGCAGGCGCTGGATAAATATTCCTGTAATTTCTCTACAAGTTCAAGTGACTTCAGTGAGCTTTGTAGCAGGGAGAGCCCCTTTCCAAAGTTCCCACAATGCACCTGCATTCTTTCAAATAGCTCACTTCCTGCTGAAGGTCAGTGACTTCTAATGAATATATTAATGCAGTGAATTAAATACCATGATTAATGACAATTGGGTCCCCTGAAAGGCGCTATATACATTTAAGTTATTATTATTATTATTATTATTATTATTATTAATTGTAAAAGATTCCTATAAGATAAAAAGTGAACAAAGCTGTCGTCTCACAACAAATATCAAATCATTGCATAAAAATGTGCATGTTGCTGCTGACAACTACAACCAAGACTCTAACAATTACTGTATAATGTTCCCTCAACAGGCCGCCATGTCACTGTTAGGATTAGACTTGGGACAACAATATTAATGGAAAAACTGAAGCTCTCCAACTGCCCTGACATCAGGGGACGGCCAGCTTATGTCCTGTAAGTCCACTGCCAACATGTCAAAATATATGTAGAAAGATTATTGATTCATAGAAGATGCCCAAATTGAACAAGCAAAGAACATTTGAAGGAGAGAGGCAGAGGCATGTCTCAGTGACGCATACAGCATTGCTATCTTAGGGTCTACGTGTTGTGTCAAGTCCTGGTGATTCATATTCTAGGTAACAGCCTCAGCTAACAGCATTGGTTTTCTCTCAGGTGTGGAGAGTGTGTCAGGGCTGGATGTGGCTGGAGCAGAAACGGCTGTACCTGGGCAAACCAAGAAGTGGGGAATGTAATAATGCATGTTTTTTTCTAACATAGTCTCCTCCAAGTGTTTCATTCTTACATCAATTGACTGAAACCACTGCTTTCAAAATTGTCAAAACAGATGAACTAGTTAGGAAATAACCCTATTTTAGGTCTAACCCAGCCTGATTTAACTGATCATCAAAACAAAATGTCAGGTTTGGTTTAATTTGAATGAGAAGCTCTAACAAAAATACAAATAAGACATTATAGTTACTGGAAGCAAGCTGCTTCTTAGTTATTTAGCCCAGCTAACATTAGCCGTAACAGGTGCTAAATTCACTGTTGACAGTATCTTTAAAGTGAGTGTCACCCTGCCTAATTCTCCCCTCACTTGCTCTTGCAGGACAGTGTTTGCCAAAAAATGGAGTCAATGATGAACTTTTCAGTGAGTTTGACCCTCAGTTATCATACACATTATTTCTCTCATAATACCCTAATTCACATTCAGTAAAGAATCAGCATAAAGGAATGTAATAAACCTGATTTATCTTTGCGTGTGTTTCACTGTCAGAGACCAGAGATCTCCTCCATCACACCCAGCAATGTGTCTTTCTACGGCAGGAATCACGCCGTGTTGTCGGGTTCTAACCTCAGGGACGTGATCAGAGTGAGGATTCAGGGCGACACGGAGTGCACTCCACAAGAGTGAGTCAGTTCACCAGTGGTAATATGAGTGGTATATTACACCTTGATATGCTCGACAATCTGACAGCATTGACAATTCATTGGATAATTATCAAGTACTTTCCAGTCCATGCTATAATGTGCACTGATCTTTCCTACAGCTAGGAACAGGATTTATGTAAAATATTGTTTTGCTCCACAAACGTATTCTTTAAGGTTTTAAGAAAAATGAGGCTTATGTTGGGGTTCACACGTGCTAGCAAATCTGGATTCATTTGGTGTTAAGGAAAACCCATTCTCTGTCCCATTTTCACACATTGCAATCATCAGCACTGGAACAGAAGTACATTTTGGCATCAACTTGAAACTAAACAGTTTTCAAAAATATTATAATTGTTTTACTTTGTTGTATGCTCAGAATTTAAGTTTTGAAACACAAATGTTTTGCTGTTTGCTATGTTAAAGGCATTCTCCATTTTATCATTCTTTTATAACGAAGTCTTCACCATGAGTACAAAAGCAGTTTTAATTGGAATTGGCAATGCCTGAGAGTCTGGGTAAGGGTTGTGTTACAAACACAAAGAAAGTTAAAGTGAGTTTGGAGTTGAGGGTGGAGAAGAGGTATAAAAAGGTCGAGGAGAGAGATGAAAATGTGCCTCAACATAATTATGCTCTGGTTATTTGCATATTTCTTGTATTTAATGGTTGTTGTGATTTATTTAGTTCCCTTACATAAGGTGAATATTGATCTCAGCTGCAACTGCTCTCTCTGTTCTCTGATCAGATCTCCTGTGTGGAACAACACTGGTGGGAGACTCACCTTCCACATTCCCAGGGCAGATATTAAAGGCGTGGTCAAAGTATGTGCTGTCCTCCCAGATGGTAGTTGCCATGGCAACACTAAAATCACCTACCAGTCATCCCCATCATGCACCGATATTACACCAAGCAGCACCTGGATCAGGTAAGCCTGGATTGGTTTGCATGTTTTCATCCCAACAAGAACATCATGGATGAAAATCTTGAATCCATTTAGTATTTCCATCAGCTACTGAGCTGCAGAAAAGGTTCCAACAAACAGAAATGTTTCAGAAACGTTATGTTCTGATGTCAACTAGGGCTGCACGATATATCGTGTTGTGACGATAATCGCGATATGCGCATGCGCGAGTCACATCGCAGGATGTAGGCAAATTAACTCAAACACGTCATGTTACAATTATTTTGCTGCTTGCTACAAAAGGAAAACTTGCGGCTCTCATTTCAGGGGTACTTGAGTGAGTGGCATGCAGGCTCTGCATGCACAGCAAACCACCAATCAAATCTCCAAAGCAAACGGACCCCGTGATTAAAGGTAGAAACACTGAATAAAGTAGTTTCATGTGTTTCTCCAGGGCAGTTCGGCGCTGCTAACCGAGCTAGCTCAGCTTGTTGCTCTGACAACTTAAGATCCAGACGTCTGTGACTAAAATCCTTCATCTGGTTAAATATAGTTAGAAAAATACCAATTGTATAGCATTAAAGTTCAAGAAAGGATGGTTTGCGGACAAACATATTTTTTCATATCGCAATATATATCGCAGGGGGAAACAAATATCGCAATATCAGTTTTTTCCAATATTGTGCAGCCCTAATGTCAACAGAACATAACAGAACATAACGTTCTGTTATGTTCTGTTATGTTCTGAAAAGCTTCTGCTGCTAAAAGAAGCTTTTCTGGTTGCATCTCTAATGGAGACACCTCCACTTGGCATTATTCTTGTTCAACTTTCATATACTAGTTCATGTTAAACAGTACACACAGTACACACACACATACTTGGATTTATAAGCTCATTGGGAAAAGGTATTGAAAGTGAAAGACCATCAGAAATCACAATCTAATCAATCATTATTGAGATTAACTATGAACAAACAAGACCATCACTGTATTCAGCCTCTGCGGATCCATTCAATGGAGAGGAGTGATGAGGCAACATGGGTGATAAGAAAAGTGCTATAGGAAACATGATGGTTACATCATGGTAATTACAAAGATATAATTACTGATATGACATTTGATTTGATACTTAAAAACATCTAAAATACAGTGAGAACATAAATAGGCGATCTTCTGACAGTGAGTTGTTAGTAACACGACATGGCTGAGACTTATTCTAAGAACCAATGTCAGTGAGGAGGGGACATTTACGGGTCGAGGGTCATGTCGTGGGCAAGGACAGCCACTTCCCAGAAACAACGTCTTTCACCATGAGACCACTTCCCTCTGCAGTTGCACTAACTGAAAGTGCGACTTCTGCTTTTGTTATAACACGTCTTTCCACACTGTTGCATGGGTGCAAAAATGATATGTTCAAATCAAGAGGCGATAAGCTAAGGCGACTGCATTGGTAAAGAGCTGTTCTAGTCTTAGTGAGCAGTCAAATCACTTCACAACACACAGAGGCTCTGCTCATATAAACATCACACACAGACATCAGGAGCAGTCTTTTGTTCAGTTTCTTCCAATGTAGAACCACAGAACCTCTGGCTGCTGGAACACTTCTCTACCTTACAATGATGTGATAGCATACTTAAAGAGGCCCTATTCTGCTTTTTGTGGTGTTCCATCTCCTGTAGAGTGTTCTTTAGGTTTTTGTGCATGTGAATGGTCAGCACAGGCTAAAATCCCTGTGTTCCCTCCAGAGGGAGTTTATCCCTCTTTAAGAATATCGGTTGTCACTTATCCAGTGAGTGTGCACAGCTTTTCAATGCGCTACTTTATTTGTTCTGATCATTGTGACACAAGTTCCTGGATGCTATACAGTATGTATTTTGGCATGTTAGCTGTAAGGCCTAATAATGTTTTACATGACCTCCCAACCATTCTTCTTTGATGGCAACAATTATTTAGTGGGAATGCTGATACAGCATTCCAACTATATGTTATGCTACGGACAAAAAGTTTATTATTATTATTCCGCCGACTTATTTTGGCCCTCTTCTCCTCCCACATTCAACATCGCAGAAACTCCGTTCAAACATCAAAACGTTCAGCTCGGTCGGGAATCGCAGGCTATTACTTTTCTCATTCATAACTTTCATAATTCCAGAGATACATCCCATAATTCATCACATTTTTAACCATTGAAGTCAATGGAGATATTCTTCAGACTTCAACAAATCTTCATGCGACTTCAACTGCTAACTGTTCATTCATACTTTCACTCAGAAACCTCATTCCAACTTTAAAATGTTACACATCTTTCTGACATTATTCGTATTAGACAACTTTTAAATCTGATTCTTACTTTTAGAGATATTAAACATTGTTCAGACCTTGTTAAAGAGGTTTTCTTCAGATTTTAACATTAACTAGAGTGCGTGATGTCACAGCTAGAGTGGAGCAAATCTTGAAATTTGCCTTCATATATATTTTTTAAACTGCCATAATTCCCAAACCCTACATTCCTGAGACATAATTTTTCATGACAAACGTAGGAAAACATCTCGTAGCTTGAAAAATGACAAATAATTAAGCAAAATAATTAAACAAAATGCCTCTTGAGGGCATGAAGTGACAAAAACGTTCAACATGTCTCCATTAAAACCCATTGTAATTTCAGGCTGATATTTCCTCACAGCAGCAGCCGCACACCTTTAGTTAAACTGCCAAAAAGGCCACATTATTTACCCGAAAGTACACAAAAATTACACTTCAGATGCTCAACTTCCTTGACATGCTTCACGTTTGGAAATTTCACAGATATCTGTTATCGTTCTTCCACAAAACGTTCACATGTAAGAGGTTTATCTCTCATTCAGAACAATGCAAACCTTTGATCTCTTCATAGCTCGTTAGCTCAACTATAAACACCTGTGTAATGGAACACGATGATGTCATCACTCCAACTGACAGCAGTCAGTTCTTCTCTCTCTCTCTCTCTCTCTCTCTCTCTCTCTCTCTCTCTCTCTCTCTCTCTCTCTCTCTCTCTCTCTCTTTTATTTAATGTATTTGGGTCTACAACAGATCATACAAATGTTTGTGTCAGTAAATGTGTACTAACTAAATGTGTACTAACAGAGTGTTTGTGAAAATAACGGGGACAGAGCTGGCTGCTGTCAGGCGACAGCTGTGCGGCGTCATCACAAACGGACGTCGCTTCACGTGACGCTCCGGAGGAAAGGACGTCCCATTGCTCTTAAAACTAATTTCCCTGCTTCTCGTGGTTTCCTTGCGTCTCTCCATGCTTCCCTGGTGGGAGGGACTAAACGCAGGGAAACGACGCAAGTGAGGGACGCAAGGATTCCATTTAATCGACCTGAGATGCAGCCACAGACACACACTCTCTCTCTCTCTCTCTCACACACAATGTTCCAAACGGCCCAAAACTTCACAGGTTTGGTAACGATGCAGCCATCAACGCATCTAAGCGTAGTATGGGGTGTCATCAAATGCCGTTGCCATGGCGACAGACCACTCGCCATGAAACACGATGTCGCTGTAAGTCCAATGGACACGGTCCAATCATCCCCCAATCTTCACTTGTATATCACCGGTCCATGCCTCAACAGCTCTACGCGAAATGTGAAATCTCACCATATGCCGTTTCCATGGAAACGAATCCCTCGCCATAAAACACGATGTCCCTTTAACTCCTATGAAAATGTTAAAAAAGTGCTCAAAATTCACATGTGTGCTAACAGTCCAGCCGTGAAGACATCTACGAGACAGTTTTGAGATTTCTTCAAATGCCGTTGCCATGGCAACACAATGCTCGCCATGAAACACGGTTTTCTCATAACTTCAGTGAAAATGCTTCAAACGGCCCAAAACTTCACAGGTTTGGTAACGATGCAGCCATCAACGCATCTAACCGTATTATGGGGTGTCATCAAATGCTGTTGCCATGGCGACAGACCACTCGCCATGAAGCACGATGTCGCTGTAAGTCCAATGGACACGGTCCGATCGTCCCCCAAACTTTGCTTGTATATCACCGGTCCAGCCCTCAACAGCTCTACGTCAATTATGGGGTTTCTTCAAATGCCGTTGCCATGGCAACACAATGCTCGCCATGAAACACGGTTTTCTCATAACTTCAGTGAAAATGCTCCAAACGGCCCAAAACTGCACAGGTTTGGTAACGATGCAGCCATCCACACATCTAAGCGTATTATGGGATGTCATCAAATGCTGTTGGCATGGCGACAGATCATTCACCATCAAGTTAGTTCAAAAGTTTGCAGTTCAAATATTCTGCTGCTTTTCCAAGCCTTTTTACTTTCTTTTCTTCTCTCATCACACATTCAAGCCCCCCAGTGTTCATGTATCATTTCAATCTAAATTCTTCACTTTCTTCTTACACATTACATTTCAGCATAGCAGTTTAGCATCAGATTTTCAGCATAAAGCATTCCCACTAGCAATTTCTTCAGGAATTGCATTCTCTAGTTATTCTCATTATTCTGTTGTTTGTTACCTTTATACTGTATAAAGTAGTCACAGGTGTGTGTCATATCACGCTCCATGGTAAGAAAACGCTTTCTCTGGTATTGAATGTGTATGTCCTCTTCTCTGATTGGTTGCTGCTCTGTGTCATGTAGTGGGAAGAGGAACATCACTCTCATGGGTTCCCACCTGGAGCTTGTGGAAGGGGTCATGCACTGCCGCTGCTTGGAAGGGGTCATGCACAGCCACTGCTTGGAAGGGGTCATGCACAGCCACTGCTTGCAGGAAGTCATACCCAGAAACAGCAACTATCAGGTGGGTCTCTTTACACCACACTATTCCAGTGTGTTGTTCTCTTACTTTATGTCATATCACATCATGTCATGCTGCTTTGCTCTGTCTCATTATACGTCATGCTATAATGTGTTATTTTTGTTACGCTACAGTATGTCTTGTTATGTTGTTGTTGTTTTACATTAACCAGTGTAACATTGTTTCATGTATAATGTTGTATTTCCTCGTTTCCCACTACATTTCTTTATTTACCATGTCAACATCATCACCATGTCATGTAATGCCATATACAGATGTTTTTAATTGTGTGCAGAATCTCACATATGAGTCCCCTGCAGCTGGAAAGGGGGTTTCTGCTGTCGAAGTGTTTCTGAAAGTAGCCAATAAGAGCTTGCCCTGCCACAAAACAATGAGCTACCATCCAGAGCCCGAGTTCATCAGCTTCACATCCACAGTGACAGGAGAAGATTTGCGCATCACCATACAGGTAACGCATATTTTTGTACATGCACAAACAAAGGACATGTTTACACAAAGGTCATTGTTTGTCTAATGTTTCCGCACTCGCCACATTACTGAAACTGCTCTACTCAAGGTCACAAATTACATTCTCCTCTCTGCTGACTCTGGTTCCTTCTCCATCCTCATCCTTCTTGACCTAACCGCCGCCTTCGACACCATTAACCACTCCATCCTTCAGTCCTTAATTGGCATAACCGGCACCGCCATCTCATGGCTCAAATCCTATCTCTCTGGCAGAAAACAATTCATTTCCATCAACAACTGCAAATCCCCCACCGGTGAGTCAGTCACTCACGGCGTCCCCCAGGGCTCTGTAACTGGTCCCCTACTTTTCATCATCTACATCCTCCCAGACAGATCCTCCGTCAACACCAACTCCGGTTCCACTGTTATGCCGACGACACCCAACTCTACCTCTCTAGAAAAACTATTTCTGCAACCACCCACTCACCAACTGCCTCACTGACATCAAAACATGGATGCAAAACAACTTTCTGAAACTAAACTGTGACAAATCTGAAAAAATCATGGACCAAACTCACTAACCTGCTCCATCCAGGACTTCTCTCTAAACATTGACGGCTACATCGTCAACCCCGCTCTCACTTTCCTCCCTCACGTCAACCAGGTCACAAAAACCGCCTTCTTCCACTTAAAGAACATTGCCCGCATCAGACCCTCCCTCTCATCCACCGCTGCTGAAACTCTGATCCATGCCTTCATTACATCCCGACTGGATTACTGCAACAGCATCCTCTATGGTTCACCTGCATACATCCTCAATAAACTACAATATGTCCAAGACTCCGCTGCCCATATGTTCACCTCCACCCGACGCTCCGACCACATCTCCCATATCCTCCAGGGCCTCCAGTGGCTCCCCATCAAACACCGGATTGACTTCAAAATATTACCTCTCACCAGAGTTGGGTGTAACGCGTACAAAGTAACGCGTTACTGTAATAATATTACTTTTGTCGGTAACGGAGTAATGTAACGCGTTACTTTTATAATTCAGTAATCACACTACAGTTACTAACATTGCCCGACACGCGTTACTTCGTTACTTTTATAAAATCAGTAATCACACTACAGTTAGCCTACTAACATAAATAATTACTAGATTCTCCCTTTGACAGACAAGAGGGATTTCCGCCGCAGGTTTTTATTTACGTAACATTTGCGCGACTTGCAGTGCATAAACATGGCTGAGACAGCGATAACTTTCGAGGGGTGGAGCGGTATGCCCATTATTTTGAGTTCGTCCGAAGAAAAACACGCAAAAACAGCAAAACAGCAAACACGCAAAGTTATATGATTAGGCCCTCTGTGTCGCGAGCGTCGACGGACGGACGGGGGTGCTAGTGGAGCATTTGCGCTTCAGATGAGGCTCCCTCCGCAAAATGAAGCACCCTCTGCAGTCTGCGTGATCTGCCTGCAGGGAGCGACGGCCCAGCGAGTAAAGTAACGAGTAAAGTAACGCGTTACTTTATGTAGAGAGTAACGAAGTAAAGTAATATATTACTTTTTTTTAAAGTAATATGTAATAAATGTACTTTCTGCCTCTCACCTACAAAACCATCAACAACCTTGCCCCCCCCCTTTACCTCTCTGGCCTCATCCAACCACACACCCCTACCCGTCGCCTCAGGTCTGCTGACACTAACCTACTACAGCCCATCAGGACCAAGCTCTGGACCTGGGATGACAGGGCCTTTGCTGCAGCCCCCCCCTCCCTCTGGAACTCCCTTCCCAGTCACTCACATCGAAAGGCCAACACTCTTGAATCCTTCAAAAAATCTCTCCCCCCCCATTTTACTCCGCACTTGGATTAGGACTACTGTTTAGTTCTTGGTTTTTCTTTGTACTGTTTCTGGTCTGATTTGAGGTAAATTGTCTTTGAGCATTAGGAAAAGCGCTATAAAAATCCAATGTATTATTATTATAATGTTGTCATTTCAGAAAAAGGCAGACGGACTGGCGATGAGGGAAGCAGAGTTGTCTGTGTATGGTGTTCAGGAAGGAAACACTTACCCCTGTGTAATGAAGGACAAAGAGACCAGTAATGAGATTGACTTCCTCATCTGTGAGATTGAAAGGACACCCTTTACTAAATTTCAGAAGTTAATGGTAAATCTTGTAACACCAAGCCACAATAGAGAAATAAAATGTTAGTTTTATTGAAAAAAGTAAACATGTAATACTGCTCTCGAGAATTCCTTTCAAATATGTTTTTTTTCTGCAGATAAAATATGGGGACAGGACAGTAACCCTGAACGCCAGATCTTCAATCCATCTGTACCCGGTGCTGCTTGTCCTTCTGCTGATACCCTGCATTTGTGTTGGTAAGTATAGGGTGTTATGATTTACCCACTTCCAGCTTCAGGTCGAACTGAACTGGAAAATAAACTTTTTTAATTTGATGCCTCTGCACCAGAGGCATTTTGTGTCCGTGGTGGCCCCTCTGTCTGTCTCATTTTTTGCGAACACGATATCTCAGGATCACCCGAAAGAGAATATCTTCAAATTGTACACAAACGTCTCTGTCTTTCAGTGGTGGTGATCATCTACCGAAATCAACAGAAGAAGCTTACTGCTAAGATGAACAGGCGTATGGAAGACCTGGAGCTGGACATCAGGAATGACATTAGACAAGGTCAGTAGCAAACATCATGGCATCTGTTGTTTAACGTAGATGAGGAAAAACCAGGTGCTTCAGATACTCACATTTTAAAAGCAGTGTGGGGGAGTGTTGTTCGCAAAAAGCTTGTGAAATATAAAGATATCTCTTGTTGTGCCGCATCGATATTGATATTGTAACTTGTAACCTTTTTTTAAGCTCTATCCAGTCGAACAATATGATAGATAAACCGGTGGAGGACTTTTCTAACTTTTCATTTCGCATAAGGTCAAGATTGGTGATTTGTATTCAATTATTTGCTTTATGAACAAATACCTATATAATACTAATCAATACCACATCTGGCTCAGCTGTGTTTGGTTTTTGTTCGCATGCCATCACTAAGACTAAGATGGTGAACGTGGTTTTGGATGTTGAAACTGTATCTGATCGTACCTGATAAGCAGTGGCGAACCGTGACTTTTATACCTAGGCCCTCTGACCCCAGTATTTTAAATACAATTAAATCAAGTTATTTTGGTAAAACATTTTTTTTTTATTGTTTTCAAATATTATTATTTAGAATATCTTAGGCCCTCAGAGAGCTCGCCACTGCTGATAAGTGACTCAACCTTATCAGACTCTGGCTCTTGTGTTTAACAACTTCAATAGACACACGCACATGCAGTTCCCTTTTCTTTAGGTATTGTTGGTTCAGAGAGGGCCTTTATCAGTTGAAAGGGGGAGAAAGAGAGGAGGACATTGCCTGGTTGTTCGGCCGGCTCTGGATTTGAACCGGTTTACTCGGCAGCGGTTTACGTATATGGGCCATGCAGTTCCTCTTTATGATGTGAAATGCCCTTGTTCCTTTTTTCTAATCTAAAACCAGAAGGCCTCATTTCTGTTGGTAATGAAGTGTGAGATCAGTTAGTGAGCAGCTCCTGTTTTCTTTTCCTCTTTTTATTTTTGACCTGTCTAATGCTTTAATCTGGCATCAAAGAGAAATATGAATAATGTCTAACACACACATGTCTGATTCTCTGAACCGTCCTCCTCAGGTTTTGTGGATCTGCAGACAGAGAAGGCTGACCTGATGGAAAATGTCGGAGCGATTCCTTTCTTGGACTACAAGCACTTTGCCTCCAGAATCTTCTTTCCTGAGGTACATTGTAAAATGTGAAACATTAAACATAATACGATCTCTGGCAGATTTCCAATGCTATGTTTTGTTATTCAGGATGACTCTCTGATGAGGCTGTGTATCAAAGACATTGGGCAGGTAAGGTTTACCACCAGCTGTTGATGATGTCAGCACCATGTGTAGCTCTTTCAGTGATGGGTTGTTGTGTCTGACCTGAATCAGGATGTTGTAAAGGTCCAACTTGACGATTGTTGCCAAGGCTTGTCCAGGCTGCTCCAGGATCAGCTCTTCCTCACATCCATGGTGCACGCTCTGGAGGAGCAGAAGAGCTTCACCATCAAAGACAAGTCAGTGTTAAACTGGGCCTGTGATATTCAGTATCAGCCCATCAGATGACTAACTGTTTTAGGTCTAAAGATGTCTTTAGTCCATTAGTACCTTTTTCATGCTGAATGACTTCTTACCCAGAACCCTTTCATGAGCATCCTGCCTGTCGCAGTCTCTTCACTTTTATCCTTCTGATGATTCATGGTTTTCTTGTCAGTTGGTCAGTCATGACAGCTGGGTCTATAAAATACAAATAAACTCATGGTGATGCTTTTTTTTTGCTTGCTTGTTCACCCAACAGTCCAGAACCCTTAGATCCAGCCAATCATAGGAGCTGAGAGCAGATAGTGCTTGTACCAAAAAGTACATTGGTTTTGAAAATAGTTGCCGGTTGCTGTCTGACTAATTGATACGTTGATGAATTGTTGAGAATGCTAGACTTTTTTTTCTCTTCCATATTGTCCTTCTTAATCTTTAACCAGTTTGTCAATGCTATTATCCTGTTGCATAATCATTTTATTTTCTCTTTGCTTCATATCCTCTGCATTCACATCCTGTATGCTGTCCCGTTCTACGTTGGTCTCCTCACCTCTATATATTATTTTTCAGATGTGCTTTGGCGTCATTGCTAACCGTAGCGCTCCACCATAACTTGTCGTACCTGACGGAGGTGATGGAGGCTCTGCTGAAGGCGCTGACGCAGCAGAACAGCAACGCTCAGCCCAAACTCCTGCTGCGGCGCACCGAGTCCACCGTGGAGAAGCTGCTGACCAACTGGATGTCCATCTGCCTTTATGGCTTCCTCCGGGTGAGCTGCTGTCACCTCTTCTGTTCCATAAAACTCTGGCTGGATACACTTTTCATGCCGAATAAAAGTTGTCCTTGTCCTTTAAATGTGATGCAGCAAAGCATGTCTGTCCTGTGATGGACCTTTGATTATTCAGATATTGGTTTCCAGGCCTTTACTACATATGTATAAAGTTGAGTTTTATATTGATCTGGGTCTACAGTTACATCTAGGATTAACTTGCCATGCATCAACATACCTTTCTGGTGCATAGGTGAGAGTGGGGTAAGATGAGACATGTTTTACTTATGTTGTCCTCTAGGCAAGGAAAAACAAGATTGAAGACAACAAATAACCTATACTTCAGGTTGTCTTCAATCAATCAAATGAAAATAATGCATCTATCACAGAGGGCCATGAAAATATGACTTCTAAGTGGTCTTGTGGCAGAAAGAGATAGTGAGGCCCACTCACTTCCTGTTTCTGACTGTGCAGGAGAGCGTTGGCCAGCACTTGTACCTGATGGCGAGCGCCGTCACACAGCAGACCGCTAAAGGCCCCGTGGACTGTGTGACCGAGAAGGCTCTGTACACACTGAGCGAGGACTGGCTGCTGTGGCAGGCTCAGGACTTCAGCTGCCTGGTACACACACACACACACACACACACACACACACACACACACACACACACACACACACACACACACACACACACACACACACACACACACACACACACACACCCACACACACACACACACACACACACACACACACACACACACACACACACACACACACACACACACACACACTAAGTAGAACTACCAAATGAGGTGTGTCACAGGTTGAGTCAGTTGGGCTGTTACATGTGGAAGTGATCATTAACACTTTCCAAATCTTATTTCTTTTGTAGTCTTTAATGTGGTACGTAGTCTACAAACTGCACCTACTTAATGCCATGTCTAATGATGAAGTACAAACACATGATTTTACATTTCAGAATTGTGGGTAACATGCTCCTATGCTCATGATTAGAAATCATCCTTAGCGGGGGTTGTTCCGCTGACAGTGTTGAGTCAGTGCGCTGCGGCTGGTGCTAAACCACTTCCCCCTCCATATGATTTCAGGCCCTTTGGAACATGCAGTGTACAGCTTTAAATGTTTGACTTTGCTGTATTTATTGCTTTTATTACAACATATGTTGCACAACAGAGAAGTTTTGAAATAGTTCAAAAAACACACTTGCAAAACATAAATACACATGTCAGATGATTTTATTGCAAAAAATCTAAATGTGTGGAAATGAATTCAGGTTATTCACCTTCAGACATGTCAAGCAGAGTTCAAACAGCTCTGGACTTCTGTTCATCTCTCTATGTGCTGCTGTAAGACATAAGGCTGGAAATGAGGGTGAAAGGTGTGTTATGAATGGTGACAAGACACTAACTAGTAGAAAGGCATGGGTTGGTCAACAGCCTATTGGTATATTAACCATAAGATGTCTTTTACTGAACAAATGTCACATGACACACCAATATAGGATAGCCAGTTTGTTATTCAAAAAATGACAGTTTTAGTAGTAGTAGTGGACGAACAATCTTAAAAGGCTTTAGAAAATAGGAAAAACAATAGTTAATAAGAGGACATTCCATATGTCTTTTCTTCACTTTAATGCACTATTTCTGAAGAGGAGTAAACTAAAACACATGCCATTTCAGGCTTTGACAGAAGGGGTTAAAGGAAGCAGCTCACAGTCAGACTCATGAAAAAACATCTGACTCAAAGAAGTGAAGTGTCTCAGCATTTCTAAGATTAAACTGAAATGACCTCTCAAACGTTCTGAACAACCTTCCTCTGAGCTCCTCACAGCCGGAGAGAAGCTCCTGACACCGGCAGGCGGCGGTCATTTAGTCTCAGTTATTTGATGATTTAGGTAAAAGAATAGAATTTAAGTGATGAAATACAACCACAAGAAAAATAATCACCTTACACTGAGACAAGAAGACAACAGGATTTAAGTTGTTAAGTTGTTGTTAAAATGAAACAATGTGCAGGTCAGTGCATCGAGTTCAATGCATGTCAGGCACACACTGAACCAACTGAAACCTTGACTTAAAGGTTAGTTGAAAGCAATAATATTAAGTTGAACAAATGTTTTTTATTTTAACTAAATAGTATTTCTTTCAACTAACCTAACATAATTATGTGTAATCTGTTGATATAATACGTGTAATAAAAATCAACGTTTCAGTTGTTTCAGTGCAGCCTAGCTGTGCTAACAAACATGTAAGGGATGGACACATAATGTAGTTATAAAGCATGTAATATTATTGAAACTGAGAGAGCAGAAATGTACGATTGAGTAGCTTAGCATGACTTGGCATGTTCAGAAACCTGAGAACTCTACTTCAGCAAAACCTGTGCATGCTTTCCCCCATATTGTAACTGTTACTCCCGACTGTATTGTCTTTAAGAGACTTCAGTCTCAGTCTAAAGCTAGAGTAAGGATACTGCTATCAGTAGCACCGTGTTATGTGAGCTTGCCGCTAACAGAAGCTAACTAATGCTACTAAGTTAGGCAGAAATCAATCAATTAATCAATTTTATCAATTTTAAAATCATCAAAAATATTGAAAAATTACACCAAATCAGTGTATTAAATAGTATCAACCTATAAATAAATATATAAAACAATTAATGAGACTTAAAAACGCCATAATTAATAATAATGTTCTAATCCCTTAAACACTCAAAACGTGAACATTTGAATATCCGCTTCACCAATACACAATATGTTTCACAAATGTCTCCCACTAAAGATCCCCTGTTTCCTCCCCGCCAAAATAAGACAGAACTGCGTATCTGTGAGTCTCTAAGAGTTAATGTTGTTTTCGCACATTCAATGTACATTTGCAGGAGTCAACACACCAACACTGATGGGTTATCTTCTAATGTAACACTACACTGTTCCATCCTCAGCACTTTGTGTGTGTGTGTGTGTGTGTGTGTGTGTGTGTGTGTGTGTGTGTGTGTGTGTGTGTGTGTGTGTGTGTGTGTGTGTGTGTGTGTGTGTGTGTGTGTGTGTGTGTGTGTGTGTGTGTGTGTGTGTGTGTGTGTGTGTGTGTGTGTGTGTGTGTGCGCGTGCGCGTGTGCGTGTGCCCCCCCCCACTGCAGCCGCTCCCCCCACAGCAGCCACTTTATCTGATCTTATAAACCACCATCTCACTTACTACTCACTTCCAACCATTGAATGGTGTGTGCATTACATGCAAAACTGCCGAAAGGAAATAAGATGCTGTCCGATGACACATTAACTGTGAAATCCCTGCTGTTCAGAGGCTGAAGGTGCTGTTCGCAGTGGGGGGGGGACGGAGAGCTCAGCGAGCCTCTGGAGGTCGGCGCTCTCAGCTGTGACTCGGTGGAGCAGGTCAAAGAGAAGATCCTCAACACCTTCAAGGCCAAGTTTGGGTTCCCCTACAACACCCCCCTCAGGGACATCCATATTGGTGAGTGACAGACCGGCTTCTCAACCCTTTATATATTTTAAGAACCAACAAAGAACTGATCCCACTAACATCCTTGTCTCTATGGATGAAGCCTGATATTTATAATTCCTCTGTGCCAATGAGCGCCGTTGTTGTCCAAAATGGTGAAATACATCAGTGGGTCACACTGTTGCACTATGGGACATTTCCTTCAAAAAGAGGAATACTTTCTCCTGTTTGGAAAACGCGCTTTCACACCGGAGTACTTTTCCCAGGAATAGTTCCGATAGTTCTTTGGATTTTGCGCTCACACCAAAAAGATCTGGAACTAGAACCTAGTTTTTGCGAACCTTTTCACCCCCAGATAGTCCCAGCTAGAGAGCAGGGACTTTCCTGGGGAGAAAAAGGTTCCAATTTCTGATTGGCTGGGCGAATTGCAAACCACGCCCCGTAAAACTCTGAAAAGTTTTGTGAAGCCGCCATTTTTATTTGCTCGCATTAGCATTATTAGCATTAGCCCAGCGCACCAACAGAGAGAGACTAACTTATGGCAACACAAAAGAAAACATGGGAGCGGTGGAGTGATGAGGAGGTGTCGGCGCTTCTGGCGATTTACTCGGAAGGCTTCTACTGAAGCCAGTCGGACTGGCCCAGTCCCCAACTCCGGGGGACTCCGGGACTTCGGGTGGTGGTATACGCCGTGAAGTTGTTTGCGGCCTGCCAGTAAACCCAAAGCAGAAGAAGAAGAAGTGACGTCAGCGGCTTCATTTGCGTAATCCTCCCTCAGGGACTTATTTCGGTGTGAACGCGATCTACTAGGACAGTTCCGGGACTAAAGAGTTCGGCGGGACTAAGTACTGGGAACTAAGTACAGCAAAGTACTTGGTGTGAAAGCGGCTTTTAACTAAGAACTATAAAAAGAGGCCTTTTAGATAAATTACTGAGCTGCTGATAAAATCAAACTATAGATTATTGACTCATTTTCTGACTTTTTAAAGGTAACTCTAAAATCTAAAATACATATTTAGCTTACTGACCTGTAGTGTTATAAATATATCTAGATTGTTTTGGTGTATGTCTCAATTCTTTGGAATGAAGTAGTGCCCAAAGGGACTCACATTTGTGGTGAGCTACTTTTCACACTGTGTGTAACCATAACCTGCTTCCCTTTTCCTACCAGAGTATGAACGGGATGGGTTATTTTTTCCTCTGGAGGAGGTGGATGCGAGCTCTGAGGTCATTGGGGAGGTGACCATGCTGAACACACTCAGGCACTACAAGGTGAGGACAGGGGGAGGGGTGGAGAGGGGGCAGAGCACACTCAGGCGTTGTTCCTCAGACCCCATTTAAACGGGAGCGCAAACAGACCGAATTCGTTATCAAAAAAGTATTCCGTTCACACGCATTCGGCTCATTTAACGTGTCCGTTCACACGAGACCACTGGAAACGCTGTAGTATGCCGTGCCTGTAAGTGGCGCTGTACTTCCGCACGAGACCACTCGAAAGCGCTGGAGACGCTGTAGTACATATGCCGGGCCTGTAAGTGGCGCTGAACTTCTGCCACAAAATACACCAAAAGCAGCGAAGAAGACCCCCGAGCATGGTTGCCATGGTTGCCCTTCTGTTTAAGCCCCGCGGTGGATTTAGCAACATGTAGTTCATGTAATTCTCCATGTCCACTTGTTGCTGATGGTTGTGGTAGAGGAGCTGTAGATTTTGCACTAACATCTGTAGCATGGTCAGTAGCTACTGACAGTAGCTACTGACCATGCTACAGCAGTGAGCAGCGGAGGCGGGGCTATGGCTTCATCGTTATCAGGAAATGATCGTATAGGGCGTACACACTGAGCCGTTTGGCCCCCCAGAGCGTTCCGTTTGCAGATCTATCTACCTTGGGACCCGTTATCGTTTGCAGGGTCCGTTTCCGTGGTTCCGTGGCGGCCTCGTGTAAACACCGCCTCAGACTAATCCCATTGAGGGGGGGCAGTGTTTATCAGCTGGACCAGCTCCTCTCTCAAAGACACTAATGTCGCTGTTCCTGCTTCCTCCTTCAGGACAGGAGCATACAGGTATTTTCTGTGGTGCGCAATGGCTTGACAAAAACTGGATTTAAAATGTAAATAACAAACCCCTCATTGCAAAGCCCACCCTCCATAATTAAACATTGACAGCTTGAATCTTCACATGCTGGAACACCTGAAAAGTCTCCAGAAGAAGTGGTTTAAAGAAACAAACAAAAAGGTGACGCAGCACATTTCCATACAGAAACGTCTCTGCTGAATGCAACCTGTTATCCATATTTATTTATCAAGTGATTTCACAAGTGCTCAAAGACGCTTTTTGATTGGCGACTGCAATCCAAAGGCTTCTTGGAGCACTTCTTAATTTGCTGTTAAGACTCATCATTTTCTGTAGCAACAACAGAATAGAGATGGACCGACTGAATGTACTGCATGTTATTGAAAGCAGAGGGGAAGTTTCTCCATTACTTAAATCTAACAGGAAGAGAGCATTTGATATAAAAGAGGAGAAGTACTGGAGGGAAGAGTGGTTCCTAATGGCTTCATAATGGGACTATGGAGGCGTGTTGTGCTCGATGTGTCTCTTCTGTCAGAGAACCGTCACAGATGGACTTCAGCATGAGATCATTTACAGTCAGGCAGACAATAGAACAGAGGTGTCGCTCTCTGGGGAAATCCTTGTTACATCTAATTCTGAGAAAATAATGTTTTAATTAAATTACAATAGAGCAAAAGTCAAATGAAAATATTTTCCTAAGTTTAGTCTAGGTGTAGTGATGGACTCTGACCTGAGTTTCAACAGTCACATTACAATTATTAAGTCTGCATACTATCACCTAAAGAACATATCTAGGATTAAAAGACTAATGTCACAGCAGGATCTGGTAAAACTTGTCCATGTTTTTTTTTTGCGACTACTGTAATGGTGTCTTCACAGGTCTCACAAAAAAATCTATTAGAAAGCTGCAGCTGATTCTTACTAACACTAAGAAAGTGGATCACATCACTCCTGTTCTGAAGTCCTTACACTGGCTTCCTGTGTGTCAAAGAATAGATTTTAAAGTACTGCTGCTGGTTTATAAAGCACTGAATGGTTTAGGACCAATTTATATTAACGAGCTCCTGTAAAACTATGAACCATCCAGGAGTCTCAGGTCTTCTGGGACGGGTCTGCTTTCTGTTCCCAGAGTCAGAACTAAACATGGAGAAGCAGCGTTTAGCTAGTATGCCCCGACTATCTGGAACAAACTCCCATAATCCTGCAGGTCAGCTGCAACTGTTAATACTTTTAAATCCAGACTAAAAACGTATCTTTTTGCCGCTGCATTTGAGTGAGCTGTTCATATCCACACTGCAGTATGGCTTTTATTCATGTATTCTATATCTGTTGTGTTTATTTGATTATCTTTGCTTTGTAATGCCTGTTTTTAAATGCCATTTTATAATGTGTTTCTGCTGTATTTATTCTTTAAGGTCTTTTATTTAAATTTGCATAGCACTTTGAATTGCCATGTGCTGAAAGGTGCTATATAAATAAACTTGCCTTGCCTTGCCTAAGTTCCAGAAAAGCAGATGTCTCTCTGCTTCTCATCGCAAACATATCCATAAGGGATGGGCACGCATTCTGTGCAAGGCACCTGGGCGACACACAGTATCAGGGGGTTTCTAAGGCTGACTGGTTTCTTGTTACCAACACACACACACACACACACACACACACACACACACACACACACACACACACACACACACACACACACACACACACACACACACACACACACACACACACACACACACACACACACACACACACACACACACACACACACACACACACACACACACACACAATAAAACCAAACAGTGAAATGTGAAAACGACAGCGTGGATGATGTACATTCATGCTTTCATTTGAACTTTTAAAACATATTTCTAGCCATTTCATCATGCAATTATTTGTTCTCATCTCATGCTGTTATAGTCACTTCACAGACTATTTCCCTTTTTTACAAGATGATGCATGAACATTTAACATGTTGCTATTTATGAACCTGTGTGTGTCGGTGTGCTCCTGAAGGTTCCTGATAGAGCGACAGTTAAAGTTCTTTCCAGGAAAACTCATCCTCCTCTGAGCCCGCAGGGAAGTCTAAAGGGTAAGAGCTGACACTTCAAACTGTTTGTGAAGCGAATGCTCTTTTCCTTCACTAGTCAGCTGTGAAAGTGAATACCTCTCTCATGACGTCCACTCTCAGAGGTGACACTGGATAGCACATTTTAGACCTAGTAGAATTGAGCATTTGAAATCCCAAGTTCTCACCTCAATGTGTTAAAAAACAGATATTTCCTTTCGAAATGCTTAGGCGAAATAAATGAAGCTTATGAGTAATTGTTGCTACAGCAAAAATAGACCAGAAGTTGGCAGATAGAGGACGCTTTTTATTTACGCTCATGATTACAGTTTATGTTTCTTTGTTCTCCTTTAGATGACGAGAACTTCTCTGGGAAATACTTTCACTTGGTGAGTAGCAGTTTGTGTTTTATGTGTGCTGTGGAAGATCATTTGAAGTCACAAACTATTCATTAGTGCACATCTCAGAAAACTACTAACTGAATGTTTTTTTAAATGGCAACTTTCTGCAGATTGATCCTGATGTAGATGAGGGGAAGAACCCAGAGAGGAAGAAGTTAAAACTAAAGGAAGTGCACCTCACCAAGCTGCTCTCCACCAAGGCAAGAGGAACTAAAGTTACTGAAAGCAGAGTCCGTATCGCACACCATCTCCACGCTTCAGAGGAAGCATGTTGTTTCAGTTTCTCTCGCACTGTTGATTGTGGGTTACCCAAAACCAAGTTTGTGGCAAACGTATACATAATAACTATTTGACTAGCAAGGCCCACCTGACAACAGTGTGATATGAGTAGATTTGATCAAAGAAAGAGTCCGGGCAGAGGGAGACTCAGAGTGGGGGTTCTGTCACTGCAACATTTCTGCTCGGGCTGATTACGGGCCCCCCAGATGGTGGATATAAATAGCCCTTAGCAATGGTTAGAGACGGGGTGAGGCGTGGCCATGCTCCTGAAACTAGGTTAACAAATGAACTTCAAAAGAAAACAAACATTTTTTTTTAGTACTTCTCTTTTATTGATGATGGAAAAATGATATTTGATAGTACAGCGTTCTGTACAGTTGTACTGTTTAATTATCACAGAGAAGAGGGAATTTAAACATATTTTGTACTGATGTGAACTTTAAGGGACAGCAGGAAATGACATCACCTGCTCCTCTCTAAGGTGGCCGTGCATTCCTTTGTGGAGAACCTGTTCAGGTGTATCTGGGGGACGCCGCACTGCAGGGCACCGCATGCTGTCAAATACTTTTTTGACTTCCTGGATGCTCAAGCAGACTCTATGAAGATCACCGACCCAGATGTCCTGCATATCTGGAAGACCAACAGGTATTGTCTGATCCGGGTGAAAAGATTGAGTTTTAGACTTTAAACGGCCGCTTTCCTTTCTGACATGTCTTTTTGTTACTTTGCAGTTTGCCTCTGCGCTTCTGGGTCAACATCCTGAAGAACCCCCAGTTTGTTTTCGACATACAGAAGACTCCACAGCTGGACAGCTGCCTGACCGTCATCGCTCAGGCCTTCATGGACTCCTTCTCCCTCAGTGAGACCCAGCTAGGAAAGGTACTGCTCATCATTTACCAACTGGCAGCTTCTCCTTTGCCTGGTGAGACAGCAGGTGGAGGTGGAACCATTGGATGAACCCTAATATAAAGTGAAATCATACCTTTAATACCATTGTGTTCCAGCATGCACCAACCAACAAGCTCCTCTATGCCAAAGACATCCCCAAGTTCAAACAGGAAGTCAAGGCTTACTACAAGCAGATCAGAGACCAGCCACCAATCACAGACTCAGAATTCAAGGAATTCCTCCAGGAAGAGTCAAAGGTAATGTCCTTTTAGTGCAGAACCTTTGAACACAATGACCAGCAGTGAATGGATGAGTCACTCGTTTGTTTTGATTGTAGAAACATGAAAACGAGTTCAACGACTCTGTAGCCCTCAGAGAACTCTACAAGTTCATACAGCGCTACTTCACAGAGGTGAGTTCATCTTCACTCGCTTACATTCATTCACATTTGATTTAGTTCCATATGTGATCTGTTATATTCAATGGCGAATTATATTCTTAGATGATAACAAACGGATGATGTTGTGGATGTGGATTTGTTAAGTGTGACTCAAATGTGACGTCAACTAGAAAATAAAGGATTTGAGGAAATCAGGTAGTAAATCATCACAAAATGATTCCGCCAGCTCAGGCATCATTGGTACACTTTTTATTAGACGTTTAATTTTCAGCAGCGCTCAATGGTGGGCTAGAACTTTGAAATCTATAAAAATCAATTAAAAAAATCTAACTATAATTTAAACACATCATTGATTTAGAGTTTTATTTTTAGAAATAAATGTTAGTTGTTGCAACCTTAACAAGTTTAGGCTCCCCGGTGCAAATAACAAAAAAGTCAATTCATATTCTGGAAAAATACAGTTATATATTTAAACTGTGTATAAATGATATATAAACATTACATTTGACTAAAGACAGAATAGTACTGCAGGAAATACAACTGTACCTGTAATTATGGCAGAGGAAGTGGAACATGTTTCACTTCCTCTGCCAAGCTTAATAGTTGTGTTAGTAAGTGTTGCACGCATGAGGGACACACCATCAGTGGGAAATTACTGTTATTTAAAATATGTTTATGATTTTCCAAATTGCTTGTATTCCAACCCTACAAGAGACATATATCAACATAATAAAAGCAAATAAAAGTCAATAAAAATACTATTTCAAATGTTCTATTTGAAACGCAAGATGGTCACCAAGAAGGAGGGCCAGAGAAAAATGACATTTGACATGTTTTAGCATTCTGGGCATGGATTATATGAAATGTCATAGATGGGACAGAAAATGTCTTCAAATTCTGGAATGGCCCATTTACGCTGGTGCTTTCTGCTTCATGTGCACCATGACTGCTTTCTGTATTCTTCACTGTTTCCCTTTGTTGTGGGATGTATCGTAGATGTCGGCAGCAGCAGTTATTTCACACTTCTGCTTTTTTTAGCTCGTTTCCTGCTCTCCTGCAGAGCTTTATATGAGCACTACAGTTTTCTCACTTTTACACTTTTACACGATCAATTAACTGAAATGTCTGGATAACCCACACAACTGTTGTGGTGGAGACTGTCAATCGGGGGAGGGAAAGGGGTCTGACATGCGGTAAAAGGTTCCAGGGTTGGAATTGAAGTAGGGAAGTTGCTGTCATTTGGAGTAAGAGTAGCTACTAGGCTAAGAAGGCATTTGGAGTAGGTTTTCAATATGCTCTTTACTGTCTTTTGCCTTTTCCACAGATCAAAGAGAAGCTGAACCTAAATGGAGCCCCTTCTGAGATGATGGAGCAACTACACCATGTTAAAAACTCTTTTGATGAACTGAAGAGCTGCTCCTGGAACTGAGCAAGCCTTCTTCCTCTCACATGACACAAAACCCAGCTGGACTCTGAACTCTGGGAAGTCCTTGGCATCTATAACATTGAAGTGATGCGCAGTCAGTAGTTCACAGTTTATAAAAAAAGATGCATTTACTGAAATCAGACATGTAACCAACACGTATGTCAATAAGAACCATTCTATGTTCTGGGGTCTGGTCGCAGTTCCTTTACGTAAACAGATTTGTTGCCACACAATCGTGTGATTCTAGGATCTTGAGTCATCTTGAATAAGTCAAACCACTGATATCAGAAAAAACTGTATCTTCTAATCATTTATTTCAATATATGACATTTACTCTGTGTATATACATTGTGCAATTCACAGATGGTAGAGCCATGTTATTTAAATCGCTGTATAAAAACTTTGTTTTTTCACAGAAAGCTTCAGAACAAATGTGTGTAAACAACAAACATCTAAGTACAAAATGCAGCCCTGAGGATGCCAGGCTCACTTTGACATGAAGGTGCAGCGGCCTTACAATGATAGAAACACATGTAAACGCTGGCCTCTCTTCTCACCTCTACTTTGTTTAAATACGCCAATAAATGATGCTTCCATTTATATAAAAACACTGCTGGTGTCCTTGCTAATGCAGTTCCAATGGGGTCAGAGGTCAGGCTGGGGGGGGTCCCTCAGAGAGCCCAGGTCCTGCAGCTGCTGCTGCTGGGCGCTCTCCAGGTCCTCCAGCCGGCGGCGCAGCAGAGCCAGCTCCCTCTGGTGCTGCTCCTCCTGCAGGACACAGTGTGACGTCACTACAGCGGTTAGCCACATGAATGCCCCCCTGCCCCCTGCCCCCTGCCCCCCCCCCCACACACACACACACACACAGTATTGCTATTAGGCAAGGGTCATTAATGGTGTTTCATTTTCACTTAAGATTTTGAAAACAAGACACTGAAAAACTATTACTATGCTGCATTCTGTTTCACACTGAAGCTCTCCTGTGGTCTCCGGCCCCTCCCCTGTTTCCTGTTAACTCGTTAACAGAATGCTTCAGTCTGACTTCATTCAATCAAAGGACCTGTATCTCGATTTGATAGAAACAACTCATTTTCGCTGGTCAGGACACGGCAGGGCGACAAGTATGACAGTGTTATAATTGAAAGTATTATGGTGGGCAGATTCATCGTTTCCCAAAGGGTGGAACTACTTTCTTTGAGCTGCTTTTCATTTGGTGGAGCAGTTTTGTCTTTAAAGTGATGGACAAACACGTAATAATTCACATGTAGGATATTGCAGTACTGTAGAACAATCATAATCACAGTTGTGAAAAGCAGAACAAGAATAGTTCTACTCGAGCCAACAAACGGCTTTCATTAATATCATAATCAAAAGAGGTCTTTCCAGGAGAGAGATGGTCCATCATAAGTGTGTATATCTGTGTGTGCCTGTGTGACTTTTTCATCATGGATAACCATAGACTGAGAGAGTCAGTACAACATAGTTTCCTGTTTGCTGTGTGTCGATCTCAGAGTGTATTCATCACTCAGACACTGTAAGGGCGTGGGGAGTTAAACAGTCAACCTCAACATGTGGCTTTGTTTGTGATATGTGATTGAAACAGAGATTTGTTCATGTCGCACTTCGGATGCTCTCCACCCTTTCCACCTCCGCCCACAGGGTGTGACTTTTTATTTGTTTGTGTGCGAGTAAAGAGAGAATCGAGATCCTACCACTTATAAACCCAACTTATACTGTTGCTGCATTGCATTCTGGTCTATTTCCTGTGTGTTAAAGGTGCTCTGAGCCTCGTACATTTTGACTTGGAGCTGTTTTTTCGTCCATGAACTGGCTGCGACTCATAATGCTTACTGGGATGTTGGCCTGCTGGCCCTCAGACCCGGGGAGGAGGGGGGTGGACGTGGAGGTCAGGAAGGCGTGGCCGGCGCTGTAGGGAGCATGGCCCCCCAATAGGAGGCGTCGAAACTCGTTGTGTCGACGCTGCAGCTCCTTCATCCGCCTGCTGAGCGGAGGCTGCTCCTCTGAGGAAGAGGAGCGTCTGACAGAGAGGAAGAGGGGAGATCACACACACACACACACACAACTGTTTACCACACCTGCCAGCCGTTAAGCAGCTCATTCATTTTTTAAATGTTTATAGCTCTGCTGCAAGGATTTGAACTCCGACCAGGAGATATGACCACATCACAGCGATCCTGGCTACCTGTTGCTTTTAGAATCGATGTTAGGATTTTATTGCTGACTTATCCTTATAAGTCAGCAATAAGGATAAGTGACGGGGTGTAGGGCTTTAAAAGGTCAGATAAATAACTTGGGGCGAGGCAAGTTATTTATCTGACCTTTCAAAGCCCTACACCCCGTCCCGCACCCTGAGCTCCTCGGAGGCCTCGCTGCTGGTCGTTCCCAGCTCCAGGTCCAAACACAAAGCAGACAGCTGCTGGCAGAGCTGCTGGACTCTGGAGATCAGGGCTGCAACACGTCAGCTCATTTATGTGTGTGTGTGTGTGTGTTTTACTTTGTGTTTTGATGCTTTTGTTTAAGTCACTGCTTCTCTGTAGTTTTATGTGAAAGCACTTTGTAAATAAGTTTTGAAAGGTGCTATATCAGTAAAGTTGATTCCAATTATAAAAACGTTGTACTTGTTGGCTGCAGCAGCGCCCAGCTCCAGCTCCTGAATCCTGGCCTCCTTCAGCTGCAGCTTCTCCTGCAGCCTCTTGTCTCTGTGCTCCGTCTGCGCTCGCCTCTGACACACACACACACACACAGAAAAAAAGAATAAGTAATCAGATTACAGTTACACTTTTAAAATTTGGACAGTCATTGAGCTCACAGGAGAAACAAAATCACTGTTACGTTGAAGATTTTTTTTTTTCCCTGCGCCCGGGTCAGCTGTGAATATACCCTCTTAATCCGGGGGGTCTACGTCTCATTGGAACAAGCATTTACAGGTAGAGTAGACCAACCACTAACCGCTAATGTTAGCCAACTAACCTGTCTACTTCTACTGATTTTTGTTAAGGACTATTTAAATAAGGTTTGAGTGTCAAGTGTGAATAGAATACTTAAAGTATATTTACATGCATCATTACCACAATTAATCTGATGATGATCACAACAAAGGAAGGACAAGCTGGACCAACAATCCAGCCTAACTATGAACAGACAGAAACATTATATGAGGCGGAACAATGTTAACAGCACAAATATGAATTAGTAAAGTAGTGGCCGGAATATTTGCTTGCTTTTGACTTCATCATCAAATTCAGTAGGCCAACACTTGGAACAGGAAATGCATGTTTATCATTTAAAAATCACATTTCTGATACAGAACGGTTTCTTCTTTTCTAATGTTACATTGTTGTCTTCTCTTCTCTGTTATCACAATATAATTAGTAAAAGCAATCTTATTGATATTTATTTTCTATTTTCCTTATATGCGTATTTGATATTGAGGTAATCGGAAAGTAACGGATGTAATCAGGATACATTACTTGAATATTGGGGTGGTTCAATTACTTTTCTTAACAAGTAATTAGTCATTGTAACAGATGACACTGTTTAAGGGACTCTTCCCCCCCCCTGACTCTCCCCCCCCCTGACTCCCTGCACCCTGAGCCGGTCTCTGAGTGTAAATGTTAAATGAGAAGAGTGTCACAGCAGCGGTACCTTCTTCTGTGCCGCCGCCGCCCTCTGCAGCTTCTCCTTCACCTGAGAGTATTTGTGCTGCAGCTCAGCGTCTCCCTCCTGCAGTTTGTGTCTCTCCTCCAACCACTCCACCCGACGCTCCTCCACCAGCCTGGAGGGAGGGCAGCACAGGAGAGACGACTCACAACAGTGTTTAGTAGGCGCGTCATCTACATTGCATTTCTATATGTTGGTAACCCTCTATCCAAAGTAAACATGGAAGACAGTGTGAGGCAGCAGCAGCACCTCTCTGCCTCCTGCTGGCTCCTCTCAGCCTGAGCCCGAGCCCCCCTCACGTCCTCCCTCAGGCGCTCCAGGGTTTCTCTCAGGCGCTGGTTTGCCTCCAGCAGCTCGCTCTCAGAGTGAGACAGCGTGCCAAGCTGAACACCTAGTTCCTGGTTCTGCTGTTGGGTCATACAAAAAACACCTTTATTTCAGCCCTACACCCTGGCCAGGCTGTGTGACAGCATAAGTCACACATGGGGGTGTGGAGGCTGGTACCTGCTGCAGGTCAGCCGTCTCTGCTCTCTGCCTCTCCAGTTCCTCCTGCTGGACGCTCTGCTGCTGGAGCTTGCCTCTGTAACCCACAACACGAGGCACTGAAGGTCATAATGAGTTAGAGATTAAAGGACATGCCGTCACAAACAAAAGCCATTTTTCTTTGTATGATTTGAAGTTTCCTTTCTTCTAAATGTGTTGCAGGAAATAAACTGTGGCCTTTACGTGGATGTTATTTATTGTATGTCAAAGATAACTAAACCTTTAGGCAGCCGGAAAGTCACCAATAAGCGGGAAATAGCCCCCTGGTGGATACAACAGGTGAGTGTCCTGCTGACCTGAGGGAGTGCAGCTCTCTGCGGACAGACTCCTCGGCCTGTTGGGAGCTCCGGAGCCGCTGCTCCCACTCCTCCTGCTGGCCGTGCTCTGCAGCAGCCTGCAGCGCCCTCTGCTGCTCCAGAGCGGCAAGACGGCTCTCCACCTCCAGCCTCACAACAGAAAGCATGACAAGTAAATACAGATAAAAAGATGAGTTGCAGAGAGGAAGAACAGTAAATGAGCTTTTTGATTTTGTACCAATATGTTTTCTGTATTGATGGCATTTCCACAACAACAACAAGGGGATTCTCACTTTTCCTCGTGCACGATGGCAGTTTTCCGGAGCTCCTCCTCACGGGCAGCCTGCACCCTCCTCACTAACTCCCTCTCTTTCTCAACCAGAATGTCTTTGTGTCTCTCTGCCGAAGCCTTCATCAACTCCACATCTGCCTGCAGACCTGAGACACACGTTACCATGACAATCTGAGGGTGAGGGGGGAAACAGGTTGACGCGAACAGTAAGAATGATTACGGATCCTGTGTTCTTCTGCGGAGACAAATGCTACATATGATCTGAGATGAGAGGGTCTGACAGATGACTTGTTAAGTTAAATCAACTCTTACTCTCATGATCAAAGTAAACAAAGTGCAGAGTTAAATATGTGCTGCGAACACTTCAGCACATACAGCAGCGTTGGCCTTTCTTAGACAGGAGGGCGATAAAGAGGCAGAGATGCACACACAGGCTCTCAACAAGTGCTCTAATTTATGAAGGTTATGTGTGTGTGTGTGTGTGTGTGTGTGTGTGTGTGTGTGTGTGTGTGTGTGTGTGTGTGTGTGTGTGTGTGTGTGTGTGTGTGTGTGTGTGTGTGTGTGTGTGTGTGTGTGTGTGTGTGTGTGTGTGTGTGTGTGTGTGTGTGTGTGTGTGTGTGTGTGTGTGTCATACCATCAACCTGCCCCAGCAGTGTGTCTCTCTCCCTCTCCAGCTCCCCTTTAGAGCGGGCACACTCGAACCTGGTGCTGTCCACCTCCAGTTTATGGGAATGCTTCAGGCTTTCAATCTGAGAACCAAAAAAACCTAATATGAATCAATTTCACTTTCAAATCACATGTGTGTGTGTGTGTGGAGAAACTGTTGTGTAACACATTGTGTTGTGTTTGTCATTAATACTAAAGGTGTTCATTGGACTGACCCTGGCTTAGCAGCCCAGACAGTGCTGTGTGATGATATGTGGGGGGGTCAGCGTACCTGTCCGCTCAGACTAGCCCCCTCCCTCTCCGCTCGGTGCAGCCTCCCGCTCAGCTGGCTGTTCTGCTCCTGTGTAAGGTGAAGCTCGCTCTCCATCCGCTCCAGCTGCAGACGCAGAGACTGACGCTCCGCCTGTCACACCAACAACCGTTAATCACATCCAACAACCGTTAATCACACCAACAACCGTTATTCACACCAACAACCGTTATTCACACCAACAACCGTTAATCACACCAACAACCGTTAATCACACCAACAACCGTGAATCACACCAACAACCGTTAATCACATCCAACAACCGTTAATCACACCAACAACCGTTAATCACACCAACAACCGTTAATCACACCAACAACCGTGAATCACACCAACAACCGTTAATCACACCAACAACCGTTAATCACACCAACAACCGTTAATCACACCAACAACCGTTATTCACACCAACAACCGTTATTCACACCAACAACCGTTAATCACACCAACACCGTTCACACCAACAACCGTTAATCACACCAACAACCGTTAATCACACCAACAACCGTTAATCACACCAACAACCGTTAATCACACCAACAACCGTTAATCACACCAACAACCGTTATTCACACCAACAACCGTTAATCACACCAACAACCGTTAATCACACCAACAACCGTTAATCACACCAACAACCGTTAATCACACCAACAACCGTTAATCACACCAACAACCGTTAATCACACCAACAACCGTTAATCACACCAACAACCGTTAATCACACCAACAACCGTTAATCACACCAACAACCGTTAATCACACCAACAACCATTAATCACACCAACAACCGTTATTCACACCAACAACCGTTATTCACACCAACAACCGTTAATCACACCAACAACCGTTAATCACACCAACAACCGTTAATCACACCAACAACCGTTAATCACATCCAACAACCGTTAATCACACCAACAACTGTTAATCACACCAACAACCGTTAATCACACCAACAACCGTTAATCACATCCAACAACCGTTAATCACACCAACAACTGTTAATCACACCAACAACCATTAATCACACCAACAACCGTTAATCACACCAACAACCGTTAATCACACCAACAACCGTTAATCACACCAACAACCGTTAATCACATCCAACAACCGTTAATCACATCCAACAACCGTTAATCACATCCAACAACCACAAAAAAGGTCACATTTATAGTCAAATTATAACATATGAACAAATATCTTTATCCTAACAATTAACAAAAAGATAAATACATGAAATCTTAAACGATATCCTTCATTTGAATAAAGGTATTCATGGGGTTAAATAAGTTGGTCTTTTTCATAAATGAACTTTCTTAAATGAATAGAACTGGTCAATTTGGTCAACATAAATACTTGTAGAGGACTAAGCTGTGTGTGTGTTTGATGGAGAGAGAGAGAGAGGACTAAGCTGTGTGTGTGTTTGATGGAGAGAGAGAGAGGACTAAGCTGTGTGTGTGTTTGATGGAGAGAGAGAGAGAGGACTAAGCTGTGTGTGTGTTTGATGGAGAGAGAGAGAGAGGACTAAGCTGTGTGTGTGTTTGATGGAGAGAGAGAGAGAGGACTAAGCTGTGTGTGTGTTTGATGGAGAGAGAGAGAGAGGACTAAGCTGTGTGTGTGTTTGATGGAGAGAAAGAGAGAGGACTAAGCTGTGTGTGTGTTTGATGGAGAGAGAGAGAGGAGGACTAAGCTGTGTGTGTGTTTGGTGGAGAGAGAGAGAGAGGACTAAGCTGTGTGTGTGTTTGATGGAGAGAGAGAGAGAGGACTAAGCTGTGTGTGTGTTTGATGGAGAGAAAGAGAGAGGACTAAGCTGTGTGTGTGTTTGATGGAGAGAGAGAGAGAGGACTAAGCTGTGTGTGTGTTTGATGGAGAGAGAGAGAGAGGACTAAGCTGTGTGTGTGTTTGATGGAGAGAGAGAGAGGATCCAAAAGAGGTGGGGAGAAGGTGGGCTATTGCTCATGATATTTCTGTAAGTTATTAATAAATGACTCTGAACCCTGCTTTGTCACTCCCCCCTAACCTGGGATATTTTCCAGTAAGAAGACCCAAAAAATGAAGCTGTACAGTTTTCCATTGTGGTTTAGGATCCAAATGCCACCTGAATGAAGCTTTGAAGCGATCCAAATGCCACCTGAATGAAGCTTTGAAGCGATCCAAATGCCACCTGAATGAAGCTTTGAAGCGATCCAAATGCCACCTGAATGAAGCTTTGAAGCGTCAAACTATTTGGAAGCGCTGTAACAAACATAAAGGAGAGCAGCCGTCTCACCTCCATGGACTTCACCGCCGCCTGACTCTCTGTCAGCTGTCTGATCTGGATGCGCTGGACGTTCTCCGCCTGCTGGCCTGAGTTCTCTCTCTGGGCCCGGAGCTCCGCCCCCTCTGCCTCCAGGCCCTTGAGCCGCAGGTGGAGCTGAGCCTTCTCCCTCAGCAGAGCCTCCACTCGTCTGCCATCACGCAGCGGGTCTGAACCCTGGTACTGAGCAAGCAGCTCCTCCCGCTCCTTCTCCAGACGAGACACCTGCCAACAGAAAGGGATCATCCACAGTATTATCTTCTTTTATCATTTCACGGCAGTGTAGGACAATTTAATAAAAACACAGTTCTGACTATCAGACAACACAGACCTCTGCTTCAGAGCGGATCCTCCTCTCCTCCAGAGTACGAGCATGTTCTTCCCTCTCATGGTCAAACTGGGACTTGAGAAAAGTGAAGTCATACCGCAGCTTGTTGTACTCAGACCTGTACTTCTCGGATTCCTGGAAAGAAAATGTGTACACGGACTGATAACACTTCTAATCAGTGAGAAGAGGATGAGAGCAATCAGGCAGACAACATGGAAATCAGCACAGACTGTCAAAGATTGTCAAAAGCCACTCGATGCTGACCTCTTGACCATTGCTATTGACTTCATAGAGCAGGAATTTAAAGATAATTCCAACATTTCCTTCTTCAATAGAAGCCATTTGCAGCTATTAATCATTTTTAATAACAATTTCCAAAGTGACGTAATCGATAACAGAAGAGAACTTTGTTCTTAGCACCGTTTCACTGTTAAGAGATGTATTCGGTGCTGTATTAAATAATAGGGTTAATCACAATGTAAAGTCTAAAAATGTAAAAAGTATGATTTTAACTGCATACAATATATAATGACTACATAGTAGTAAGGGTGGGGGACTCTTTCACTGACCCATGTTCTCCCTCATAGGTCTATGATAATACAAAGGACAGTATATGATTGACATCAGGGCTTGACACAAACGATGTCCCATGGTAAAAGAAAACGTGTTTGGAAAGCAGCGACCTCACTATGAAAAATGGATGATATACATGTTTTCCTCTGATAATGGGACAGTGTGATGTAATCAGCGGAAGGGAAGCTAGTTAATGTTAGCAGCCAGTAATGGTATTGTCTACTAAAGTTCTTGTAGCCTGACATCCCTATAATACTTATGTGCCATACAGACACAGAAACATGACCGACCTCCTCGAGTTTATTGAACCTCTCTCTGACTGGAGCCTCCATCTCCTGCTGCACCTGAGCTCTGAGCAACTCCAGCCGCTGGGGGGTCATCACCTGCACAAAAACACACACATTTGTAGCCAGAAAGTCGATTAAAGTTATCTTACGGAGACGCAATTTTAATAATGAAAAACAACAATAATTACATCCTTGTGGTTCGCTCCGCCAAACAGTCAAATTGAGCTTTAATCCATAGTGTCATCACTTCATCATTATTCTATTAGACATTTGTTGGAAATTTGAACGAAATTGTCAAAATGTAAAAATATGAATTCTAGAGTTCTTGCCAATGACGTGTTAGGTGTGGTTACAGTAAACTTGACTTTTGACCACCACATTCTTAACTTTGTGCTGTCCACAGCACAAAGTATGTATTTCAACCATAACATCAGTGAAACCCAACCTGTCCTTTGATCAATGAAACAGCAGAAAAATCCATGATTCTACCCAGTTTCATTGTGTGAGACTCATCACAGGCTTCGTGTACCTGCAGCCGAAGCTCCTCCAGCTCCCTGGTTCTGTCCAGCAGGTCTCCCCGGAGCTCGGCCAGCAGCAGCTGCAGTTTCTCCTGCTGAGCCTGTCTGTCACTCAGCAGGCGCCTCAGCTCTCCCTGCGCCCGGGTCAGCTCCTCCTGCAGGCTGCAAGCAGGATGGGAGTGAGCGCAGTGCACAGCAACTGAAGCACATCGACTCATACAATCATAGCCAGGGTCAGTGTTGTTGTATGGTTATGGAGGGATGGTTTCTATGAGATGTTTTCTCTACTACTGCAAACACACAGTGTTCATAAAGTAATATTATATTTTCTTTTGATTCAGTTTCTTCCCTCATAATTCGTACTCAATACAAAACAAAGTACTGCCAAAAATACTTAACAAGTTTATATTAGATCAGTTGTACCTGGTGTGTTCAGCCTTCAGTGTTTTGTAGTTGGTCCTGTGGTTTTCGCACTTCATCCTCTCATCAATAAGCATCTTCTGCAGCTCCATCTCTGCACCCCCCAGCCCAGCAGACAAGCCCAGCATGGCTGCAGACTTCCCCATCCCAGGCTCCAGGTTCGGAATGAAGGGTGGCGACTGGCCGAGGGCGGAGGAGGTCATCTCGCCTCTGCAGCAAAGAGCCAGACACAGGAGATAAAGAAGGCTTTCTGAACCAAACAATAGAACTGCTGTGTCTTTATTTAGAAATGAAATAGGGTTGTCAGCTAGCTTTGTTCTTTTCAGTCACAAACACTCCCTGCTAGTGTGGTGAGGTGCTTAGAGAGGGCAGAATTGGGCTTGCTTTGTTGTCAGTTAGTTTCCATGGTGGCATTAAGGAGAGTCCCCTGGCTACTTGTTCAAATCACAACCTCTCAGCAGAGGCGCTCTGAGTCTTCTCCAGTGATTAGTCGGCTCCCTGCTGCTGTGGAGGAGCAGTCAGTGATTGACTATTTAAGCTCTTAACATCAAGCACCCTGTCTGTCTCATGACTCATAAAGCTGTCTCTGAGCACAACGAAGCTACCTTCAGAATGTAATTATCACAGCATACACTGTAGTTTCATATAGACTTTAAAACCATAAACAAATAAAGCTAGGTAACCTTACCGTCAGAAACCAGAGATATGGTATTTAACTTAATGTGCACTGACTGTTGTTATCTGGCTCCCTTAAAATAGTTACAACCAAGCTACCGTTAGCCTGAGCTGAACAGAGACACTCACAACAGCCAGTGGATCATCAGTTGTAATGTGCTTATTTAGATTACGCGTTTATCTTATTCCAGTTATAACTGGCGTCCCAAATCCGTCTAAACTGCATTGAGTTGTTTTTAAATGTCCCGCGACTTTATGCTAACTAGCCAGCTAACATTGGCTACTTACGTGCGTTCGTTATCGGACACTCCCTCCTCCTGGCGTTTGTCATGCAGTCAGAGCAGTGTACTTTAGACGATCAGCTATAAACAAAATTCAGACACGAAGTCATATTAAAAGCGCAGAAGACTCGTGAAATCTATTCACACAGCCTGGCTACCTGTAGGCTGACCTAAACAAGCTGGAGGCTGGAGCTAGTGACATTAGCCTGCCATGGCTAACGCTGTGTGCAGCTCATACTGTGTTACAGACTCCAGCAGCTGAAAGCCCCTTACCTCTGTTAGAACTTGGAACTTTCTTTACTATTTTTTGTTTTTTTCCCTAGCAATTGTTATACATCCATGGTGATAGCTAGCTAATCTGAAAACTACAAACTGTGGGATCATGGGACATTTTTCCCGAGGTGCATTTCTGTTGTTGAAAACAGCTTTTACGAAACCCTATGGAAGGACTTTTTACAATTAATACTTTCGTACTGGCAATATGTACTTTGCTATAACAAGTTTGTGAGTAATGTTACCTATTATAATTATAACGTAACTGATAAATTGCTTAACCTCCAAGTCTCTACATATTGACTGAATGCATTCAGCATTCAAATGATTCATACATTTGAACTATGTTTCAGTAAGCATCGTTTCTAATATTAAATTGCAAAGTGTTAATCCTGGTAATCTTAACTTGTATTTATTGTACAAAAATGGTACTGACCATCCTGCACCCCCCTCAGTAAGAAGCAGCTGTTGAACATATAGTAATACTACTTAAAACAGCATGTAAACCTTTTGGTTAATGCAAGTCATATTTTTCCACTGGTCCAACTTTACAATATATTTGGCCTCGCTTAAAACACAATCGGCTGCATTACAGAAACTACTTTTAAAAGGATTATCTGTGGCTAAAACACAAGTTAATTTCATTTTAGGGACAAGATTAATACAAGTTTACCTTCAACACAATTCATCTTCAAGGTCGGTAATAAGTCTGCAGCCTAACCAATGAATGTTAACGGGGGGAAATGGTTTATGTGCATTTGTCTCAACTTTAAATGTAGTTCTTTTCATCAGAAAATGTTTGTGTAAATAAAACAAATAAGATAAATGCTCCTTTATGAAAGGAAGTACAATAAATAAATCCTTTTTTAGCAACCACATGAAGAGATAAAGCACTGCTCTCAATAATTTGAGGTCCGGATAACAGTTTCTCTCTAATAATCTGGAGTGCAGACATGATGGAGGAGCACAGGGAGGACAACAATAATACTTTGTGCCCACTAAACAATGAGTTGGTCAAGCCAAGGACAACAAAAGTTAACATACAACGCTCTTTCGTGAAATATGGGACATTTTCTATACCGTTAATTAAAACCAGCTACATAAATTGTGCTCTGCTCTTTAGTTGAAGTCAACATGAAAAAAATGTATTCACGACAGACTTGCAAAATATTTTTTTTAACAATCTGGGGTAATGATAACACATTCAAAGATCTTAAAAGATCTAAAAACCCAACCTGAATCATAGAAAATTAGCCTATTAAAAAAACAACAGCAATATTAATATATATATAACAAGTTTTTCTTTCTGATGTACACGGGCTGATGCTTTCAGAGTTTTACATCTTTTTCTTAGTTGGGTCAACATCATATTTCTTATTACTTATCAAAATAATTCAGTAACTAAAATACCCAAGTGGTTAAACTTCCTATGAAAATATATTTACAGGGGAATAATTAAATACGTAAGAAAATAAATTAACAAAACTGTAGGTAATGTAAGACAACACAGCGACGTACAATCGCCATTTTCCTGAGTGCACATATTGTCTTTCCAAAAATGGGTGTCATTGGTCCACACACTCAGCTGGAGCTGCAAGAAAGAATTGAAAAAGCAAAAAATAAATTATTAAAAATAAAAAATGTAGAAAGAGAAAATGAAGAATCTTGAGCTGACTGGTTACCTGTCAGCAGCATCTAGGTCAGCCTCAGCATTGCTGTCAGCTTTGGAGGCAGACCCTCGCAATTTAATAGGATCTAAAAACACAGAGACAGGTTGAATACAATTGGAAAAACATATAATTCTGGTAAAAAAATGAGCAGAAAATAAAGTCCAGCTCCTGCACCTTGGATCCAGCGGATCTGCGTGGCGGGGCCGTAGCCCTGCTCGTTCTTAGCAGCTATGCGGAAGACCACTGCCGGCCGGTTGGAGGCGGAGCAGTCGATCTGGGCGTTCTCCAGTTGGGTGGAGCTGACCGAGCAGGATGTCTTGGTGCCGCGGTATATCCTTATGAAGGCCATCTGACCCGGACGCTCCGAGCTGGTGGAGCGGCTCTTCCTCACCGCCATGTACATGGAGTATTCCAGGATCCGGCCTGATGGGGAGGGGGGGGGCGTCCCACGTGATGTGGACCGAATCGTTGGCCTGTGCAAAGAAAGTGTTTTAAGGGGCAGCTCTTTCGTAGTTTATGCAGGTTGTCAGTGCGAGTCCCATATGTGTCACCTTAGTGATCCTGACAGCAGAAGGCGCTCCGGGGAAACCTGGCAGGCAGGTCTTGAACTCACTGACCGGGCTGAGGTCTCCCTGGCCGAAGCAGTTGATGCCTGCAACTCTGAACCTGTAGGTCTGCCCTGGAGCCAGCTCCTGCTTCTCTCTGCTCTGGTAGTCCTGAGGCCCGGGACACTTCCTCTGGAGGGAGGGCTGATGGGAAAGCAGAGGATATACAGAATCTGTGTGGTGAGACCCTGGGGTGTCCCTGAGAAACTAAAAGTGGTCCACGTGCCCTAGAAGATTTTGATGTTGTGGAAAAAAATTCTGTCAAATAGTATCTGTGTTTATTGAGCTTTAAGAGAATTGAAAAACGTTCCTGAATGTTGCAGCTGCAATCTGAGTAGGAGAATATTATACAATATGTAATAATTTAGGAAACAAGGCAGACTGGTAAAACTCAAATGTGCTACGAGAAGAATTTTATCTTAATGGTGTGAACGATCTGTCCACTAGAAGGACTGTGGCACAACATGGAAGTGAAAGCCGTGCAAGGGTTATTAACATTTCTTTATTTAATTTGCAATAAAAAAAACGTGTCCAAAGAAAGATCTATAAATGATTGTGATAAATAATTGTGACTTCAATGTTAATCATTGTGATAACCATTTTGGCGAAAATGTTGCAGCCCTAAATAAATCGCCTGGTCTATATTGACATTTCAACAGATTTTCACATTTAAAAAAAAAAAAAAAAGGACATAAATATTGACTGGATAGCCTTGTCTAAAATATATATTAAATAACAGTAAAAACTGTTTTTCAGTCAGTTTTTATTATTGTATTTACCTCATTAGTGTTTGGTGGCCGGCTGCTGCTGGCTGCAGTCGTCTGGTCAATGTCTGCAGGTAAATAGTAATGGCTGGCCTCACAGAACAGTGTTTTGAACACACCAACATCAAACCACACCTCCTCTGGGGTCTGATGGACCTGGAGGAGAGAGGTTTCAGTCTGAGTTTACACTGAGCCCAGTAAGAGCTAATGATTACTGTACACAGGTGCGTCTGACCTGATGTGTATGGGAGAGATCTGATGTCTTGTCCACTGGCAGTTTCTCTGTGAAAGAAAAGGACGCCCTCAGTGAGTTTTACTTCATGACATGCTGCAGTGTGATTTGACTCCTGAGCTTGAGCAGCATCAGTACCTGGCTGCTGCTGAGCTGAGCTGCTGACCTCTGCTGATATGTCCGCTGCACCACCTACAGCTCGCACACAGAGAGAGAGAGCACAACAGGTCAGCGGATCAAAGCCAAACAACAGCAGCTTCACTAACACTGGAGTGAGACAGCAGAACAGACCTGTTGTTTGTCCTTTCCCTAACGCTGTGTGGGAAGGAGAACATTACTTTTTACATGTCGTGAGTTGCGGCAGGGCCCCTGACATCTACCAGGTTTTTCTCGCTGTGTGTAGCATTTTATTTGTTTCCCCAGTCACACCAGAAAAAGTTATCAAAGTGTGTTTGTCTGCCGCATACTCGTCCCTAACTGACGTCACAACCTCAAAACCCTTTCCACTGAGGCCATAATATGTGACAGGTTCCTAAAATGAGGTACAAGAAATCACAATATATCTCCTTGCTTGCAGCATTGCAAAATATCACAGCAGATTGAATCATACCCTCTGCATCATGACCCATTTGGATGCAGCTTTATTACTTTAGGCATACCTATTGCCTATTTCATTATTCCGAAAAGGAAAAAAAACGAGTGGAAGTACTCCACTCGATGCCTAGCATCACTGGACAACAGGACTTACTGCAGCGCTTTGTGTCACAGTCCTTCTCCGTGTCCCTGCTAGCACTGCTCTCTGCTTTGCTCTCCGAGGACTCTGCCCTAGTGTCCTTTTGTGCTGAACCAAGCTGTAATTCAGAGAGAAAAGTAAAGCAGAACATATTTTCTTTCAAAATAGGAAGAACTGCATTCAAATACCTGAGTAACAGTGCCCAGTTTAATGCAGAACTCAGGGTTTTGTTTACTTGATGATCTGCAGCTGGGTTCATTCACAAGGCAGGAAATGGACTGCATTCATAAAGCGCTTTTAATCTTAGTGACTACTCAAAGAGCTTTACAACACAAGCTAGCATCTCTCAGAATAAAGACTCTAAATGTAAAGAAATCTAAGAGAACAGTACTGACATGTCTGTAGTTGCTCTAGTAGAGGTTTCAAGCAAGCCAAGGCGATACTAAAAGGTGGATTTAAAAGTGTCTACCTGTGGTGATGTTTCATCTTCTTTATTAGCGGTTCCTCCAGTTGGAGGTTGAACAGACTGTAAATCTGAAAGGTGATTAAAAAATGTTCTTAGAAAAGGTGTGCATCCTGATAAACATGCTGCACATTTGTTTTCAGGTGGTGAAACTGCTCTGTACCCTCTGTTCCTGTAGAGAGTACCTCAGCCTTCCTGCCCAGTGCCTCTGCTCCAGTGAGATGGACGGCTTTGGCAGGTGAGGGTGTAGGCTGGATCTGAAGGATGTAGAAGTCTGCTGCAGACAGGGGGCGCCACGCCACATGAAGCATGCTGACGGTAGACTTGATGAGTAAGGGGGCCTCTGGGGCGGCTGGTCGCTCTGCGGACAGAACACAGAATATGAGATTGAGGAAGTGCATCTGCTTTCTGATGTTTTCGCAGCACTAAAGTTTGCATCACAAGGACCATGGTGGACACTCGCGGATATGGAAAGTATGAATACGCCTTTAGATGACTTTCTTACCAGCTGGGTGTCAGTTCTCACCTGTTTCCAGGTACCACAGGTCCTTACAGCAGACCTGGTAGTTCCAGCTCTTGCGGTACCCGTCCCGGCCGCTCCAGATGTAGAACCTCGACCCCACGCTGGCAGCACAGTGTCCGGCCCTGGCTTTGGGCAGGAAGGCGTACGGATCGTCACTCTGGGGTCCCTGACTGTGCAGCTGGTACTCAACATTGTCTTGTTGCTGTGAGCCAAGATCCTGCCAGCTCATAGTGTCTGAGATAGGAAAAGCAGGCATCAGTGAGTGAATAAAACACATAGCACATAGCTTGAAGTTTCCTAAAACAGTAAGGCTGAACATGCTGCTGACAAAACCTCATGTTAAAAAATGATTTAACACCAAATGTTGACAAGAATCACCAAATGAAGATGCTCTCTCTAGGGTTTTACCCTGTGTGGAAATCAGAGTAATGTACTCACCTAAGTTGAGTACAGTTAAGGAGTCACTGCAGATCCATTCAGGTTCTACAGCAGTGTGCAGGTCTGACTCTGGGGCAGGAATCCAGCCACCAAAAACAAACATCCTGCAGACAGAGGGACAGTTCGTCAAGGCTCTTTGGGTCAGCTGTTATATACAAATTAGACCTCTGCTTTAACAGAGACATGACACCAATAATGGCAAATCCCATACTTGTTTCCAATAACACTGGCAGAGTGAAGGCTTCTGGGAAGTGGTGTGGAACCTCTGGTTTCAGGTGTCGACCAAACCATTGTGTCTGAAGAAAGAAGAATGATAATATTAAGGAACTAAAAATATAAAAAAAGAGATATTTCTCAGTACATGCACATTTGAAAATAAGCCGACAACAGTTTTTACATTTAAATCAAGGTTTAGTGGCAATTTAATGATGCAAAATATTTCAAAAGTTCCTTTCTCAAACTTGCAGCTAGTCAATATTATCTGTCAAAAAAAAAATATATATATATATCCTACCAAGATCAAGCTGCCAGAGGTCGCCTAACCGGGATCCTTGCATCCCACCAAAGATGTAGATCTTCGGGGAGCCGAGCCCAGTGTAGGAGACCGCCGTGTGGGACTCCCGTGCTGAGGGACCCCCCCCCCTTTGTCTCAGGAATGCTCCAACCTCTTACTCCTGTTAAAGACTGCAGCTCCAGCTCATAGAAGTCACCCATGTATCTAAGATGGTAAAAAGTCAGAGGTTCTATTGAACTGCATCATTGTGAATAGATTAACTTTGGGTTTCACTATTTTATGTTCATTAACTTCATTATTACATTTAAACATTGTAATTTAATATAAACAGTAACATAATAAATAAAATAAAATGCCAGTAAGAAGTCCTCACAACTACCCCAACTCGATATCCAGGTTTGTATTCATGTCTCAAAAACAAAGCCTTTGTTTTCGTTGTTGTGTTTATTCTTTTGACTGTACCTTGGTACATTGCCATTGGCGTCTTCACTATCATTGGCCAGCCCTCCGAACAGGTAACACTTGTTCCCCACAACAGTGAGGCTGTGTCCGATCCGGGGACAGGGGGGCAGGCCGTTCCTTGGGGCCCTGGGCTTCAGCTTCTTCCACAGCCAGCGACTAGCCTGAGCCACACGGGATCAAAGTCAACATTTGAAAAGTTTCTTCACTGAAGCAACTTGGTTAGAATCCAGACTGAATATCTGTGGTGTCATTACCTGGAGTTCATAAAGGCTGTTGGTGTATTTCCCAAACTCCACCATGCCGCCAAAGACCAGAATCCGGGTCCCATCACAGACGAAGCCATGGGCAGCACATCCGGGGGGGATGTCCCCCCTCACCGCAGGCAGGAACCACTGCTTTGAGACTGGACGAATGCGCATCAAGAAGTCAGACACTGTATTAGACAGAACATCCTGGGGAGTGCTGCATTTTATACATTTGATAGCATAAATCCTATTTTGGACACATGTAGCTCTGTTAAGAGTTATAACAGTCAGTGTGTTTAAGATGGATTTAACCAGTGGTGGAAACTTTAGTAACTAACTACATTTAATCAAGTATTGTACTCAAGTACTTAAAAAAAAAAAAGTATTTGTACTTTACTTGAGTATTTCCATTTGTTGCTACTTTAAACCTCGACTCAACTACAATTCAGAGGTAAATATTGTACTTTTTACTCTACTACATTTAATTTAACACGGTTACTAGTTGCTGATATGGTATAATGCAGTACTGTACAACTAATCTCCTCAGTGCTTTACATATCTACATTTGGTCAACATCTTCAAACTAAAATAAGAACAGGATAATATAATAATAATCTGTGAAAAGATAAATACTGCAACCAATACTTTTACTTTGATACTTGAAGTGGAGAGGTCCCAGTTCACCTCCTGGGCCCTGCCGTGGTGCCCTTGAGCAAGGCACCGGACAACCCCCCCGCCCCCCTCTCCCATTGGTCCCCGGGCGCTGTGCAATAGCTGCCCACTGCTCCTAGTACTAGGTTGCGGTCCAATAGTCCAAAAATCAGCTCCTAACGTCTAACCCTATCGTCTATCCCTTGACCTCTGTGTGAAACGTCACGGGGTTAAGGGATAGTGGATAGGAGAATTCAAAAGGACTTAGGAGAAGAGACTGCGGTACTTTAGAGCAGTGGTTCTCAACTGGTGGGTCGCGACCCAAAAGTGGGTCGCGGACCCGTTTCGAGTGGGTCGCGGATGTGTGAGTGAAGAAAAAAAATTGAAAAAAAAAATTGAATTTTTTTTTTTTTTTTTTTTGGGGGGGGAAAAGTCAAACTTTTATTTTTAAGGCCCGATTTTCTAACGCTGTGCATGCAGTCGGCGTTGGACTGGAAGTACCGGAGACCATAAACGGTTTTGAAAACTTCTGTCACGATCGTCTTCTCAATAAAATATCTTTGCTGATGTTTTTTCGGGTCTTCTGACCAATCAGAATCAAGATTGTTGCCGGAAGTCCCCACGGAGAATAACTTTGCGGTAGAACTCTTCTTTATACATCCATGGGTACAACTTCAGATAAAAATGAACACATAATGAAATATGACCCCCGGTTTGATGATTGACAGGTCACAGAACAATGGGAGCTATCTACCCTTACCCACAATTTAAAGTAAGTCACACAGACTATCTCCTCTTTACTCTTCTCACAGCAAGCTGTCAGAACTAAGTGAAAAACAAACAATAGCATAAAATATTATTAATATGTCGGGTAGTAATAGATTTATTTATTTTCTTCTCAGAGTGTACCAGAATGCGTAGTTTATGTTAGTATTTCTAAAAATCTCCTGGGGGAGAATCCCCCCAGACCCCCCTGCTGGGGTTGGGTTTTCAGCATGTGTGCCTTTTTATATAGTTCAGCTTTGATTCCATCATCTCATTAAACCTTTTTTAAAAGCATACTTTAGTTCTGTGAAGGGATATAAGGGATATATGCACTGTACTTCACTTTCATTAATATTGTATGCTCAAAAGCGTATATATTACAGCACGATTTTTTGTTGAATAGATTTGAGTGCTTCAAAATGTTGGGTCGCGATGTATTGACCAAGTAAAAAGTGGGTCCCGAGGCCTGACCAGTTGAGAACCACTGCTTTAGAGAATCCGACTGCACTTTCACTATCCAACGTGTTTATGATGCGCCAGCGGACGTCATAAATGTGCGTCTGCTGCTGTGGGGAAACTATGGAAACTACAGTTTTCTATACAGCGGACTACAACATGGATGTTTAATAAGAACGAGGGACTACTGTAAACTCATCTAGAGACTCTGGAAGGTTCCTAAGCTAAATGGACTAGTCGAATAGTCCATTTAGCTTAGGAACCTTCCTAACGGAGTGAAATGACCCGGAAGTCCCTCAGTGGCAGCCATGATAAGTGCCGTTCGAATTCTCTAGATGATAGGAAAGGAGGTTTCAAACTTCCTTTATAACCTCCTTTAGCTTAGGGACCAATGGACCTCCCTAACCTAAAGGAGAGGAGAAAATGCTGCCCCACAATGCCTTGCAGCCGCAGCATTTGCCGTCACACAACAGTCGGCCGTTCACGGAAACAACCGATTATGAACGAGAAGTGATATCATGAAAGTTACGGTGCTTATTAAGCATTTTAAAACGTATGTGGTAAGTTGCCAAAGTGCTTTGTTTTGAACGTTCATCAGTATTATAATCAAAAAGAGAAATATGAACGTTAGTTTTTACTGAAATGATCAAATAAAGTCAACATTTCACAGTCTTTACTGAGCTGTGTGGGGTTTGTTCAACTTTTAAAAGATGTTTGAATGGTGATATACACAGTGATAGATGTTCAGGACTAACGTTTATAATAAATACATTTGTATTGATTTTAAGATCTTTTCATACAATCATACGTATTGGGATCATTTGTATTAATGTGGACCGGAGGGAGAGGGAGACGAGCATAAGTTTCACTTTCCTTTTTTATTTCAATTCCAACTTTGTTCATGAAGAATATGTTTCTCTGTTGTCCACGTTAATAAAGCATAAAACAACAGCATCAGAGCACGGTGCAGAGTCTCTAGATGAGTTTACAGTAGTCCCTCGTTCTTATTATACATCCATGTTGTAGTCCGCTGTATAGAAAACTGTAGTTTCCATAGTTTCCCCACAGCAGCAGGCGCACATTTATGACCTCCGCTGGCGCATCATAAACACGTCGGATAGTGAAAGTGCAGTCGGATTCTCTAAAGTACCGCAGTCTCTTCTTCTAAAGCCTCATCCCAATACCCCTCCTCGACTCCTCTCTTCCCCTCCTCCGGGACTTGACCCGGAAATCGATCAAGACACGCCATTTTGAAGGACGTCCCAATAGCTGAAATGCACACGGAGGAGTCGAGGAGGGGTGAGGGAGGAGGGGTGCGGGAGGAGACGAAAAGGAGGATACACGAGAGCAGACTACGCGGAAGTGTTTTCACTACTCGCGTATAAAAGCCCCGCCCCCACCTTCACAGCTGGTCGATTTCAACACAGGAAAACGGAGAACTGGAAGAATGAGTGGAAAAGCGTCACATAAATGTATAAGTGCTCACAGCTCCGTGGGAATTATTATGTGCAATTCATTTCTTAAGGTTATACTAACAATTTAAGTCATGTTTAATGATCTTGAACGTCACTAAAACATAGCTATTAAGAAAGCTATTTCATAAATGGCTAGATCTTGATAAATAACAATTATTTGTATTGTTTTTGTTAAGATATTCAAGAGTTAAATTATTTAAAATTCACAGTCCTGAATGTGGGTTTGTGGTGAATGTGGGGATCTACACGACACACATTTTCAGAGTAAAGGCTTTCACATTACTATAATTATATTTGTATTTAAATGTAGGCTACATTTTACACCAAAACGGAACAACCATCATACATTGAATTCCTTGATTAACAAGAGAAAGATTCATTCATTTAAATAAATATTTAACATCAAATGGGCCGGTTCTAAAGGGTTATTCAGTTAAGCCCGATGAGAGGGGATACAGCTGTGCACATGTCATCATTAACAGACGTCGTTTAAAAGTGACATTTGAGTGACCGAGGACATCCCAATTAATACCTGAGGACTCCTCTGTCCTCGCGTCACCTCCTCGTGTCTCTCGCTCGCATCTTACGGAGGCGGAGCTAAGACGCAAGGAAGGGACGCGAGTGAGGGAAAGGAGGAGTCGAGGAGGGGTATTGAGATGAGGCTTAAGTCCTTTTGAATTCTCCTATCCACTATCCCTTCACCCCGTGACGTTTCACACAGAGGTCAAGGGATAGCCGATAGGGATAGACGTTAGGAGCTGATTTTTGGACTATTGGACTGCAACCCTAGACTCCTGGTACTAGGATGGGTTAAAATGCAGAGGCCAAATTTCACTGTGTGTGCTGTGAGCTCTGCATGTGTGACCATTAAAGAGGGTTTCATCCCTCCGATTCTATCGATTCTACCCAAGTCAGAGGTCGCGTTAACCGAATATTTTCCGTCTATGACGGATTCTTTTTTAACAATGACGGAAAAATCGGAAAGCCGTCCGTCATTTTGACAGATTAGAACAAACTCCAAACGGCGCCAAAGTTTCCCCGCAGCGGGGCTCCGGTATTATGCCGTGTTATGCATGCCAACAGGAAATGATATCGTTTCCAAACCTAACTTTGCCAAACAGATCAACTAAAGTATTTGCTTTACGCTGTGCGCGCTCCCGCGAGGTGCTGTGGGCATGCATAACACCGCGCTAACAGTTCATGAGCGAGCGTCCGCTGGGCATTAGTTCTTTCGGGTTAACAGAACGATACAGGTTAACCCAGAGTAACGTTAGTGTAAGTAATTGATGGGGATTACTGGAGCTAACTAGTGATGATGAAGCTGCTGTCAGATGGCGGATTACAATAAGAATATCCATATTGTTCAAATCATGCTGAAATTGTCGAGGACCTTTTAAATAAACAACAGCTAATGTCTGGGTCAGGGCATGCTAAAAACATTAGCCTGCTAGTTAGCGTCCAGCTAACGTTAGCTTACCAGTGTTGTAAACATGGAGGTCCTCCGCTATCCCTTCGTTTCCACCCCCGAACACAACTATCAGCTCCCGTATTGCAACTGCTCGGTGTCCGTGTCTAGACCGTGGTATCACTCCTGTGACTGAATTCACTTTTCTCCATTGCGGCTCCTCAGCATCAGTGTTCATGTTCTCCCGTTGGGAGCCCGAAGTTTGGCGCTGTTGACGTTTCAAAGACGTGGGCGGGGCGAAGGAAGCCCCTGGATATTCAATCGGCGAGGAAAAAGTAACGTCTCACTCTGACTTATTTACCGGGTAGCAAAATCTAAAAGGCGTAAGGTGATTGCAGACTAGTTGGCTGAATACATAAAGTAAAAAAGAGATAATACGGCGTTTTATTGAAGAGATAACTTATTTGCTGACTCTATTAACTCTGGTGATGTAACCAGGGTTATATTGGTTAAGCTTGGGAAATACCAATACAGAACAAGTGCATTACTAGATACAATGACATGTAAGCAAAGATTTACAGAAGAAAGGATACGAAATGGGGCTTGACCACTAAACTATGGGAATATTCAGAGGTGCGAAGTATGTACTTGTACTTTACCTGAGTATTTACACTACCCTTGTAGACTGTCTGACTGTCTTCATTTAAAAACTGAACATTGGATCTGCTTAAAGTGGACCTATTATGCTATATTGGAAAAACTATTTGTACCATGTCCACCCTGTCAGCAAGCCTTCCCATGACAGGGTGGACATGGTACAAATAGTTTGCCATAATTTCATTATTATCCAAATACTTTTTCCATTAACTGAAATATATTGTTGAGAAAGGGACTATAGCTTTCTGAAAATGTACATTTTATAATCACTATGTAATTACAATGTATTTACTCTTTGAATTTTGTCCATGACAGGGTGGATACATTTTGCTGTTTGCATGTACTTGCAGTTAATTTATAAAAAGTGTGGGAGCTTGACCAACATCCATTTCTAACAGCATAACGTATACTTAATACAATGAATATGAAGTTCAATGGAACATCTCAGCTTTTTTTTTTGGAAATGGGGAAGTCTCAAATGCACCGTGGTGATATTGACTCACCCCTCTTTTGCAATCCCTGTTGCAAACAGGCTGCTTTAAATTGAACGTCTGCTGCTAGCCACTAGTGATGGGAATTCCGGCTCTTTTGATTGAGCTGGCTCATTTGGCTCGGCTCACCAAGAAGAGCCGGCTCTTTCGGCTCCCAAACGGCTCTTCTATTTTCCCACATATACCTTTTATAATTCAATTAAATGTAGCCCTATTTTGACTAATTATTTATATGTATACACATATATCACTTAAATTATTCAATACATCCTTTGTACTGAAGTATTCAAAAGTAAAAAGTAAAATTGTAATATAAATGATTTGCTGTGGCCAATTGTTTTCATTGCATTTACAGACCCTTGTATCTCTCTGATACCACCCAATGAATGCACTGACTTTCTTGTAGAACCACGCTACACAAAGCAGATAGCAACACCTATAACAACTTAAGCATAGACATTTAAAAAAAGGACAGCTACTGTATTTTTGTATATTTGACATTTGTATTCAAACAAAAAGCCCTAACAAAACAGCAGGGCTCTATCTCAGTATAAACTATAGAACAAAATACAGCAACAGCTGACATAAAATCCTTAAAAATAAAAATAATCATAAATAAATAACATAATGAAAATAAATATATTGCAATGCTCAAAACAGCAGCAAATAACAGTCTCTATCATAAAAAAAACATAATACAAATAAATGTATTGTAATGTGCAAAACAGCAGTATCAAACAGCCTCTAAGAAAATTACCACCGTCAACTATCAAACTGTAACCTTTTCTTTTTCTTTTCAGGGCAGATTGGCATTGAGGAAGACCAAGTGCCTCAGCTTAGCTTAGAGGGGTTGATCCGGTTTCTTCTCTCTGTTATTATCTGCCCTGTTTTAGAAAAGATCCTTTCTGAGGGGACTGATGTGGCTACAATGCACAGTCGCCATGCCATGACCTTCACAAGTCGTGGGTACACTGAAGCCTTGGACACCCACCAGCTCAGCGGGTCTGCGGTTCTTGGGATAAGAGGCTCCTCCAGATAGGACCTTACTTCCAGCATCTGCTGAGGGATTCCTTCTTGCAATGTCTTCTGTTGCTCTTGCATCAAAGAGCCTCCAAACAGCAGACATTTGTGGCTCCACTTCTGGTGCCCTTGCTCCCTCTTCTCCCTCTTGGCCTCCTGGTGGTTGAGCTGGCTGGCTGCTGAGGTCGCTGAGGTGTTACTCTCTGAAGAGCCTCATCAACAGCGCAGTTATCATTAGGTTAGGCCAGCCTTTTGAACCTTGGATCGAGTACAGTAGATTCTGAGAGGACAGTGTTGTATTCCATTCTGTGGAACTTTCTGTCCATCGAAGTTGAGAGAGCAGTCACCAACTCTGTCACTTTCCTCTTGGTCACTTGTGTCTGGTTGTAGGCTGTGATTTTCTGCAGACCCCTGCAGAGGAGTAGCATTTTGGAGGATGTCACATAGCTGAAAAAAGAGAAAACGGTAACTCAGATTTTATATGGACTTTGCTCAGTTTATTCTTGTTTGATATTACTGACATTCACATCTAAAATGTTCCTTAATATTTTATTATATAAAAAAAGTGTCTTCCAATTTCCTTTATTTGGGATTTCTATATTTAGGGTTAAAAAAAACATCTTGCAATTTAGACTTTTTTAATTTAATTTAATTTTTAAATGTTACAGTATGTCCACTGTAGAGGACGTCTGGACCATTTTAGTTTGAAAAGACAGCCAAAATTAACAGATAGACTATGTAACGTATTATGGTTATAGAGTGATATTAATAAAATAATACATTCACCTTTATTTAAAACATAAATAAGTAATTGATCTGAACATTGCTGTTTATTTGGTCACTAAAAAACTACTTTGGTTTTTGGTGAATCTTTCCAGATCTTCAAAGACTTTGTAGTCGATGTAGTGGGAAAAGTACCTCATTGGACTCCAGTCGGCACGGGCTGTAGGGTCATCTTGACTAGTTTTATGGATGTGGTCTCCATTTGACTATGCTCATAGAAACAAACTTGGCATTCCTGAGGCAATTCTCATTTTTCATGGCTCCACTTAAAATAAAAACAACAATAAGACATACGTGCTACTCTTGGCCAACAGAGGGCCATGTCTTTCCAGCTCGTCCCTATCTGTCTCTATGTCTGTATCTGTGCGCTCATGGAGCCTCCTGCATATTCCCCCCCCCCCCCCCCCCCCCCTTCTTCTTGACCCTCTTCTATCCCAGGTGTGAAATCCTCATCTCTCTCATCATCTGAGAGCTCAAAATCTGAATCTCCCTGAACTATCTGGTACAGAAAATGTCTGCTTCAGTTCCGTCTCCTGCAACAATATTGAGTCATAAAGTCCATGAAGATGGTCCTGACGTCCACTAGAATGGACATTTATTAAAGAGCTTTTATTTCAAAACTTGAATTATTTAATTGCTTTCAGAACTAATTATATAGTTCCTCACATGTTAATAAACAAGAACATATATGATTTTCATGGTAAAAATTACAATTATTCAACAATATTTGACTTCTCCTGCTTCTATAAAATGTTGTTTTTGGTATGCCAGCCATTTTGGATGAAAATAAAGAGGAACTTCCCAGCATGCAATTTAAACCAATGACATATCACTGGAAAGACCAGGATGTCCTCTGTACAGTACATCAGGGATTGATAGAGTAGCTCAAACGAGTAAAAGGAGATGCATGTTAACAAAATGTCCACTACAGTGGACATTTTCAATGGGCTGGGTCCCAGGAGGATATAATAATAAATAATATAATAACAACTGTCAACTGTACCTCTCTGAGCTGATTTCCACGGTGACCTGCTCAAAGGGTTCCAAAACAGTGCAGGTCTCTAGTGCCTCCCATTCTTCTTGATCCAGAGCATCAATATGTGCATTGAAAAGGGCCAGGGTAGAGATGATTGCATCCTTTGACTCCAGAACCCGTTTCAGCATGTACAATGTAGAATTCCACCTTGTGACACAGTCTTGCTTGAGCCTCAGCTCAGGCATATCCATTTGGCGCTGAGTAGACTTCAACTTCTCTGTTGCTCTTGTGCTCTTATGGAAGAATTCTACCATCCCCTTCACTTTGTCAAGAGTGGGCTTCATGACCTTCAGGGCATCTCTTACCATCAGGTTGATGGTATGCGCGAGACATGGGTGGTGGGTCCATTTCAAGAGTTTAATGGCTTAGGTTATGTTAGCTGCATTGTCACTAACACAGCAAGCCACTTTATTTTCAATGTCCCACTCTTTTGCCACTCTTAGCAGTTCCTCTGCCAAGTGTGTCTGTCGCTAAACTCAAAACAGTCCAGAAGACAGGCCACCGTTTTATAATTTTCTATAAAGTGACATGTAACAGACATGAAAGAGGTGGTGGTTCTTGATGTCCAGCAATCAGTGGTAAGGCAGACTGCAGTAGCTTCCTTAACCCTGGCCTGCAGTGAAGCACGTTCTCTATCATACAGTCTCGGAACGATTTTTTGAGAGTGTTTTCCTGCTTGGAGGAACATACATTGGATTGAGAGCCTGTGGGAAGCTTCTGAATCCCTTGACCTCCACAATGGAAAATGGTTGGAAATCACTTGCAATCATTTTGGCCAATTCCGCCTTTGATATAAATTGGCTTTTTGAGCTCTGTGTAGCTGTTGGTTTTTGGGTACCTGATGCATGGTAGCTGCAGCAACAACCAACATACTCTCACTCCATAAACGTCCAGGAGCGACGCTTGGTCAGGGTCCCGAGGCGTGCAGTTGGGACGCTCCGAGGCTCCTTCAGCTTCATAAACAGACGCAAAGAGCTTTCAACTGATTGCAATGTATTCCCATCTGCGGCGGGATTTGATGCTCATGGAAGCACGGCATTCGTTTGTGTCGGAGGCTGTTAAAGGCAATGTGAGCGTCCATTCCCATTGGATAACGGAGAATTGTACACCCGGAAGTAAGTATTCCCCTTACTGTCGATTGATTTGACAGTGATATCTCCACTACTCATCAACTCAAAAACACCAGATTATCCTTGTTAATTACACAACATTGATAGGTTTTAGTGTGTGTACAATGCTTTTGTCACGTTTTCCCCTTCAATTCTGAGAAACAAGTCGTTTTCTATGAGTTTTGGATGGCCGAAGACATTACATTACCCAGAATCCTCTGTAGCAACCATAGACTGTATATTGCAACAGGCAACAGCTTCGGTTCATGTTAATTTACAAACTCTTCAACTACAACCGTAGTTATATTTAAAAACATGTTTCTAACAAAATACATGTAATGTAAATTAAAATTGAAATGTGAAGGAATGTGTGTATATTAACTGTGGGTTTTTCTCTGGAAGTTTTTCCTTGTACGATGTGAGGGTCAAAGGACAGATGATGCCGTTTCTCTCATACTGATATTCCGCTATGCACGCTGGGATTTGGTGTTTATGCGATGTGAAATCCGAAAACATTTAAAAAAAATTAAATAATACATTATTCCGAGTGTGCTTGCTTTTCTCTTTGAAAGTCATCACATAACGGCATTGTAATACACGTTTTGGCTGCATTAAATATTACATATCTGCCGTAGTTAACTCTATTGATAGAGCCCTGATGAGAACACTTCTAGACAAACAGGAACTGCCGCCAAAACTGAAAACTTGACGTGGATCTTAAATATATAAGCAATTAAACAACATCTTACATTTCTTTTCACACAATACGTCTCCTTGCAGTATCAACACTAATTCGGCTGACTTTTATATTTGATCCAATTGGTAGATAGGCTGTATTTACGCCATAACGGTGCACAGCTGATAGAAAGGGACACCTACTGGTTAAAGCACGTTATTGCATTTTATAATTGTATTATTCAGGCCCCGGTGCTGTTATCCATGTGTGAGAAATTGGGGTGGCATAGTATTGACATTTTGTTTTATTGTTATTTTATGAATAATGTAAATTATTTTTTTTTTTCTTGTGCCAAAGGAATGTTTTTGGTTAACTGCTGCTGTATGTCACACTTTCTTTTGTGTATCCACATGGTTCGGCCATATGTGTGATGTATAAGGCATCTCACTTTGTCTAGACTAGAGGGTGTCATGTGTTATTGCTAGGCGCCGGGTAATGCTCTGATTCTCTTATCCTTTCAGTAGGAAGCTTATATTGCTGATTCCATCCACTCTGTTTGTGTATTTCATTGCCGATGTGTTGTATGTGTGGATTGTTTTGGTACTCATAATTTTGTGTAATTCTAGTGTGGAGAGTGTAACAGTTGTAAATATGCAGTGGGGTTTATTTGTAAATCATTTTGTATAATCACACAAATTCTGTGTTCTTCATTTATTGAATGTTCAATACCTGACAAGGTCAGAGATCAGTGGGCGGAACCTCTGAAGTGTGGTCGCTGTGCTCAGAGGATTATTTGTATGGTGACTTCCCCCTTCATATTGTGTCCCTCACGTTTCATCGCCCTTTCTGTAAATGTTCCACGTGAGAGGAGTCATTGTGAGGGAAACTGAATATAAGACTGATTTGTTAAAACACAAAACACAACGCAGAGACCGGTTACGTGTGTGTGTGTGTGTTTGTGTTTGTGTGTGTGTGTGTGTGTGTGTGTGTGTGTGTGTGTGTGTGTGTGTGTGTGTGTGTGTGTGTGTGTGTGTGTGTGTGTGTGTGTGTGTGTGTGTGTGTGTGTGTGTGTAGGAACATGAACCCCTCCCGGTGAGCAGGAAGAGGGTGACGTCAGTTGTCATTTGGCTCCGCACTGTGTGTGTGTGTGTGTGTGTGTGTGTGTGTGTGTGTGTGTGTGTGTGTGTGTGTGTGTGTGTGTGTGTGTGTGTGTGTGTGTGTGTGTGTGTGTGTGTGTGTGTGTGTGTGTGTGTGTGTGTGTGTTTACACAGACGGGAATACTGAGCCAAAGGAAGTGCGCCGGTTCTCCGTCTGCGCGTCCTGACTTCCTGCTCTGAGTTGGACAGAAAGGAGCTGCGGACCGCTCTCAGACAGCAGCAGCATGGAGCCCCTCACACACACGCCGCTGTAGACTCACACACACATCCCAGACGGACAGAGGTGCGGCGGCCGTCCACAGCAGGGTAGGTACAAGTTTCGATTTACTTTAAACTTTTTCTAAGTTTATAGGGACGCAAGGAAACTGCAATTAGCTGTTATGATATTTGCTCAAACTTGCATGGTTTCAGATATTAACTGTAAAACTGAAATCCACATTGAAGCTGGGCGTAAAATGTTAAATCTGTGCGTAATAAGCGTAAAAGCTGTGCGTAAAGGTGGTCGCCTTATGCGTTCTCTGCTTTGGCACATACACATGCTTTTAGTTTCCAAAATAAAGTAATAAAAGAGGTTACTGTACGAGCTGCTATGGAAACATTTGCCATGGCTCCTTTAAAATCTAGTTGTAGACTTTCTGGTTTGTCTGGACCTCGCAGACTAATTGCAATGGGCTTCCGGATTGAAGCTGGCAGCAGACAACATCTTGAAAATGAGTCACTGGTGCAAAACAAAGAACCATTTCAGTTCCAGTAGAACTGCCCCCCCCCCCCCCCCCCCCCCCCCCCCACGTCTGATACATTCCTGATCAGATAATTATAACTGCAGAAGGTGAGCACAGATCAAACACAGTCTGACATAATTCATAGAGGAATTCTCCATATGTAGTGTGTGTGTGTGTGTGTGTGTGTGTGTGTGTGTGTTTGTGTGTGTGTGTGTGTGTGTGTGTGTGTGTGTGTGTGTGTGTGTGTGTGTGTGTGTGTGTGTGTGTGTGTGTGTCTGCGTGTGTGTTTGTGACTGTCTTTGTGAAAGTGTGTATTTGTTGAGATGTTGCTCAAAGTAAACTTCAGCATCCACTTAGAGTTAAAAATAACATCTTAATACAAAAACATAGGTGTGTGTGTGTGTGTGTGTGTGTGTGTGTGTGTGTGTGTGTGTGTGTGTGTGTGTGTGTGTGTGTGTGTGTGTGTGTGTGTGTGTGTGTGTGTGTGTGTGTGTGTGTGTGTGTGTGTGTGTGTGTGTGTGTGTGTGTGTGTGTGCGTGCCTGCCTGGTGGTTCCCAGTGACAGGACGTCCTACCTCCTGCAGGGGGAAGGCCTTTCCGGGAAGACGCCCCTGGAGCTGAATGACAGGAAGTCCTCGTTTAGACAGACAGCACTGCACTGCTCCCCTCACTTAACACACACACCCATGCAGGAAAAGGAAGCGGTGGAGGTTGTGTGTGTTGGTGGCGATGGGTCATTGTTTGCACCACACACACTTTCCCCTCTCTGCTGGGTGGTATCCTGTTAGAATGACAGAGAGAGAAAGGAACATTTTCATATTTGATTATAATATAAAATGTAAATCGCTTCATGTTCTCCAATGCTTCTCCTCTTCTGAGGCTAATGGTTGCCATGGGGATATTCTCATAGTGACAAATTAAATCTGTTTCTGATGACTTATTTGTTGTTTGTCTTTTGGCAATAAGTAGTTTGTACTTGCTTCTAATAAAGGAAGATTAAATGAATTAAATCAAAGTGATGGAGAGAGAGACAGGGTGGCGGAGAGAGAAACAGACAGACACATCAACCTTCACTACATCTCTCATTTGAATAAAAAAAAAGATACAAATAATAATAATAACAATAATAATAATTTTTAATAAATGTTATTGAACGCAGCCAAAGTCTCTGAGTCCATGACTTAAAAGAGTCTGAGTTCATATGTAAGATATAGATTCAATATTTTGTTCACATACTGCAGTGAGAGAAATGTTGGGGTTGTTTACATGTTGACATGCTTCGATGAATAGTCGATTCTGATTCGTTAATCACGACATTATAGTCTGTTTTTATCACGAGTAAGAGAGAACTGCTATGAATAACAGACTGTTGGTATGGACATCGTTCATTTAGGGGTGCAATGAAATTATTTTAAATTATTTATTCTGTCCAAGTATTGATTAATGTAGCATAAGTATAAGAGACACAACATGTTGAGTCCTGCATCAAAAGTTTATTTAGTTTTGCAATAATACCCTGCTTGCTGTACCTCATGCGTTACATGTGTGTGAGTGGCTTCAGTGTGTGGATGTGAGGATGTGGAAAACATGGCCGCCTCTGAAGGCTTGTGGACTTTAGCAGCAGTGAAGGAGCGTGGTTACCAATTCCTTGTCCTCCCTGCCCACCTTCCTTTCTTTCCGTGTTTCTTAAAATGTCTTCCATGGCGTATGAATACCTTTGTCACTATCTGATGAATGACCCAAATGCAGCACTCGAGAAACCAAAGACTATTGGTAATATACTTTATTGGTATTACCAGAGCAGAGGGATACCAGCAGAACAGTAACAGCCGGATGACGTGCAGACAAGCGAACCAGAGGACAGCAGGCAGTCAGGGCCGGGCAGAGGGTCAGGGAGCAGGCGAGGCAGGCAACGTAGGTACAGGCAGGGTCAGACAGCAGGCAAGGCAGGATAGTCCAAGGACAGGCAGGATCAGGGAACAGGCAGAGCAGGCAGGTCAGGGACAGGCAGGGTCGGAACCGGGTAGGCAATCTGGTAACAAAAGCGTGAAAGACTAGCATGAAGGCAAAGTACGATCTGGCAACGGGTGTGTGTCTGGTGAGGGTTTAAATACTGGCAGTGACTAATGGGTGCAGTAGAGAAAGAGTGAGCAAAAACGTGTGTGTGGTTAACAGGTGAGAGGTGAATGGAAAACTACTGGTGAATGATGGAGCAGACTGTGACAACCTTAACAGTCTAAGAGGAAATCGTTTTAATATATGAAAACATTTAAATACATCTAAATACCATGTAAATAGATATAAAGTACCTTTCAGTTACTTTATATTATTCTGCAACAATTTCCTTGACATGTCATGCAAGACTGAACTCATTGAATTTAAAGTTTAAAGCTGCATTAATCAGCAATAATATCAACGATAGAAGTGTTGCGAACATTGACAAATCAGTAGATGATTATCACCTAACAACATGCCTCCAAATAAATGTTAATGTTATGTTTGCACACATTTGAAACAACAGGTGGTAAGGCAATAATATATAAAATATATCATATTTGTGCTGTAAAGTATTGCATCTTGTTCACTACAGAATGGTTGTCTAGTGACTGTCCTCTCACTGAGTCTTGCCTCTCCTCTGCAGATCGCCAGTCTCTCCTCCGTCATGGAGAGCTCCATCACTCTCTGGCAGTTTCTGCTGCAGCTGCTCATCGACCAGAGCCACCAACATCTGATCTGCTGGACGTCCAGCGACGGAGAGTTCAAGCTGCTGAGGGCAGAGGAGGTGGCCAAGCTGTGGGGGCTGCGCAAGAGCAAGACCAACATGAACTATGACAAGCTGAGCCGAGCCCTGCGCTACTACTACGACAAAGTATGCACATTTTCAAATGATTGCATTGTTCTTGCTTTGGTGTTTTATCATTGTCCTAAGGGCCTTGAAACCCAACTGAAATTAAAATGAGAAATCTTGTCTTGTTGCTCTGCAGAACATTATAAAGAAGGTGATCGGCCAGAAGTTTGTCTACAAGTTTGTGTCCTTCCCTGAGATCCTGAAGATGGACCCTGCAGCGGTGGAGTCAGGCCACAGTGAGGGAGGGGGGGGGGGGGCTGTCAGAGCCTGAGGCTGAAGACGAGGATGGGGGTGGGAGGAACCAGTACCACCTCTCAAGTCTGTACTCCTCCTTCCCCGTCAGCTCCCTGCAGCCCCCCTTAGAACCTCATCGTCCCATCAAGACAGAACCCAGAGCCGATCGCCATCGCGACAACTCCTCTGTCATCAGATTCGTAACAAACCGTGGCCACTCCTCCCTACCCCCCACCCCACCCCCATCCTCAACTGAGACCTTGGATTTCTCCAGACCATCTCCTCGGCTGGCCCGCTCCTCCTCCTGCTGCTCCTCCCCGCCACAGAGCCCCGCCCACACACAGTGGAAGGGGCGGAGCTCAGAGACTGATGAGTTAGAGCTGACTGCTCAGCCTCTGAACCTGTCCTCTGGGCAGAGGGAGAGAGTGAGGTCGCATGGTGCACCAATGCCAGAGAGGAGTAGATTGGCCAATAGACGAAAACACAAAGGCTTGGAAATCTCTGCCTCCTCTCTCCTGCTGACAGGAAGTGACCTCGTCTCTATTGCTCTCAACAGCCCGGCGCTGCCTTCAGGCTCCCTGACCTCTGCCTTCCTTACCACACAGGTACAACATCACACAGAACATGTAACACCAGACCATTCACACATAGCTGTCCTGCAATACAGGTGGTTTGAGCAAAGACAAGAAGAACAAGACTAGGTAGGAAGATACATTTTGTGAATGAAGGAAGTTAAGCCTGTAGACAGGGAAGAGATGGAAGGAGGTGAGCTGGAAGAAGAGAGGAGGTGAGTGAGGAGGAGGTTCATAAGTAAAGCCATATGTTCCTGAAGCCCCTGATTCACTGACAGAAACACACTGACATACCAAGTCTGTCTACATGCAGGAATTCAGCTGATGTATAAATATAGATGGAGCAATGATGGGCTTCTGAGTGTACACTACATAGTTCATGGAAACAAAAGTATATGCTAAATCATTCATTTCTGATTTTTTTTTTAGATTTAGTGTTAGCAAAGAGCTGTTGGTTATTATCTACAGCCCCTTATTCACTTCCACCAGAGGCCTGTACTAGAAGCAGGATGTGCGGTTAGCGAGGTGCCTACAGGGTTAACTCAGAGTTTTCGGTACTAATGGCGCGTTTCCACTACACGGCCTCGCTCGGCCCCGCTCGGTATGGCTGGGCCTCGTTAGGACTGGCTCACTTTATGGCGCATTTCCATTACAGTTTAGGAACTGGGGCAGTATCTATAGTAACGCAGTGTAGGCGGAGCCGTGACGTGATCTTCAGAGGACCCCAGAAAAACAACACAGCCGTTAGCCGTTAGCACTCAGAGCTCACAGCTCCTCATATATGTTCAGAAACTAGACAAAAGTTAAACAAGTACAAACCACAGACTGCCTGTGTCATGGTGAATACAGTCGCTGGTTTATTTATGTCTGTATAGGCCGTTGTTGTGAGTGTGGACGGTCGGAGCATATACTGCGTTAGCTTAGCCAATCTCCATTTAGAAAACAAGCATTTTAAAAGGTTTTTCCCCTGCCGTCTGTCTGCAGACTTGACAAAGCATTAATTCATGGTTTTTACTAACCGGTATCAGTATGTTGTTACTTCGGCATCATTTTGAAACGTGTATTACAATTAAATCACGGTCAAATATGTCCATCTTGTTGTAGTTGTAGCCCCCTTGCCAGCGACGCTCTCTCTAGTTTAGCATACTCAGCCCGACTCAGCCTCGTTGTCTCTGGCCCTGGACCCACGATTTTATGAGGCCAGAAAAACTGTGAATTAGGACCCGCCGGCCGGTACTAGGCCAAGTGGAAACGCAACCAAAGACGGGCCGCTGACGTCACAGCCCTCTTAAACCGGGCTGCGCGCTGTAGTGGAAACGCGCCATTAGACGCTGGTTCACTTCTCTTCTGGGAAGATCGCCATGGTAACTAATGCTCAACACCTAACTTGATCCAGGGCAGGTTATGTTTGAGATAAGAAATGTGTTTAATTCAGGGATGTTCAAGGTTTAACTTCTTTATATTTGTCAAATATTATTATTAAGGTTTGGTTGAGTTACCGAGTTGTTATCCGCTTAGCGAGATCTTGTTTGTTAGGGTTAGTTAAGTCAGATAACACAAAGATATCCAGGGTCTGTTGAATTCTTCGTACAGGCCTCCGGACAGAAAAGTCCCTGTAGTTATCCCTGTTCATCAGAAACCACTTTATGGTGATTACGGGTGTCTCTTTAGTCAAGCCGTGAGCTCTAGTTCAGAAATCAGACAAATCTAAATACTGACGGTACACCATAAGCCAGTCCTTAGAAAGTAGCTGGAAGCGAACAGCACCTAGACTCAAACTCCTGCTGAGTGGTCCAAACAAAGAAGAGTTGAGAAACTAAAATTACCTGAGAAAAATGGAACTGGCAAACAATATTTCAGAAGCACAGCTTTTAAGAGAAAACAGATCCTCAAATGTATTTGTTAACATTTTAACTTTTCTAAAAGAAACATTTGAAGAGGATTTTGAGCTTAGAGGTTTCTGGCTGTTGTGATAGAACCAACCGTCTAATGTTTCCATAAAAGAACCAGACAGAAAACCAAACTGGCCTTAGGCAAATATGAAGTGACAGAAGATAGACGAGACTGAAGAAAATAGATCTCATGAATTGTGTATGAGCACAGCTTCCTGACCTGTTAAATCAGTCTGACTGAGAGCCCAGGTTGACTCCGGGCTCTGAGCTGGGGGAACTCCTCTCTGGACTGCCAGAATAAACATTCATCTCAATCATTTCCATCCTGGTTTATTCATACTATTTTCATTATGGCATTTGTCAATGCAGGCTCCATCTGGTCTGCTGCTCACTTCTAGTTCTCTACTCTCCAATATCCATTTCTGGTCAAGCCTGAGCCCAATGGGACCCCTCAGCCCTGCACAACTACAGAGCCATGCCCCCCTCTTTCAGGTAAACACACACATAAACACTCACAAACATTTGGTATTGCTGCACACTTTGAGGGACTCATTGACGGCAGGGCCAGTCACTGTGTGAAATGTGATTGTGCATGATGTTGAATGGTTTGGCATACATCTTGATTTCATGTAATGTAACACTCACTGTCAAGTCTCTGATGTATTCTCTTTCATGGCATGTGTGGCTGGTAAGCAGTAAATACAGGTGTGTTTTTGGATGTCACTTCCCAGAGTTATCTTTTTCTGGAGTGTCGAAATAGACACCTGGTTTGTAGTGTAGCAAATGCAAGGGCTTTTATTAGTGGGCAAAAGACTCATTCATCAATAGATGTATTAAATAACACATCCTTCCTCTTACAAGTAGAAATCAGGGGCAGTAAACACACCCTTGCTAAAGTTCATCCACTCGGGGGGTTTGCTGCTACAAACTTACTTGGCATTTTACTACAGTAGTCGATGGTAGCTGATGCTATGAAATGTTAGCTAACTGTAAATACTGTAGGTGATGCTGTCAGTTTACTGACCCTAAACCTCACTTGGTTCTCCTCAGTATTGGGGTGCAAAAAAACACTTGCAACATATTTACTAGAGGAACAATATAAATATGTATAACTTGAACAAGTCAATGGGAATTGAGAAATTCTTTAGTACAAGCTTAGCATCAATACATGTTACCTTTTATCTCAGAATGAATGTTAACTATTGTTTTATTGTGTGTTTACATAATTACATCAGTTGATATCACTTTTTCAAATACAAAAACTACAAAATGGAATACACACTTTACTCTGCTTTCATGCCAGGTTTCATTTCTAACTATCCTGTGGAAAAATAACAATCTAACCTTTCTTTAATTGATGAACCTTTCAGAGAAAACACTGGCCTGCTGGTAATGGATACTAAATATTTGTATCTTTATGAACAGCAAATCCCTCTGTTCCAACTGCAGGAACTTTAGTCACTTTACACGGCAGACTTACCTCAAAAGTAGTTTTTTAAACATTTGTGTATCTGTAAGTGTGTGTGTGATTCACTGCGTGCCAGGGTTTCACAATAAGTCACAGATGTTTCCGTTCTAAAGTGGACAAAAAGAGGGGGCAACTTCCTGTTGGCTAGGGGGAGCGGACTGGTTGGTCAGGAACCTCTCCCATCAACACACACACACCCACACACACACACACACACACACACACACACACACACACACACACTCGATGTTGGTGTTCTATCAGGTTTAAAGAGCATACACTCCTCCTGTGAAGCGTCAGCAGTCACACGAGAAATCATGTGATGTGATACAACATTACTGTAAAACTAGGTAGTATTTTATAACTTGTGTAGTATTGTTAGTGGGACTACTTTATATCAAATAATAAGATGTGTTGACTTTCTTTCTTTAGTGACTCAGGGATGTGGTTTCTGTAACTGTAATCTTCACTCTCTTAAAATGTCATATAAACATTCCTTTTCTCATTTCTAATCATTCATATATTACCAGTCAGCTCCATTGCCACTTTGGTTTGTGTCTTTAGTGCAAAAGCATCTTTTAAAATGACAAACCAGGTTTTTCCTCATCGGGCTGAAGTAGGCGTTTTTATTTATTTAAAATTAAGAACTGACTTTATATAAGTAATTCACCACTTTCTTCCTGCAAAGATTTAATAAAATACACAGTCATTTTTATGAAAGCCTGCAACCAATGTGGAACTATTGCAATATATTTTATACAGACACTGAATATTCCAGGTTTCTCTTCATTAAAAAAAGGGCAAGTGTTGAATATCATCTGTTAACCTGTGATTCCATCCCTACAGTTCCCCTCACTGCTGAATGGACACATCCCTCTGCCTTTACCCAGCGTGGACTCTCCCTCTCCTCTGCAGCTCTCCTACATTTCCCATCAGTCCTGATACCAGCTGGAGCTAGGAGAGTGAATTGGGCCTCATCCAACGTCAGCAGCCTGAGATGCACTTCCCTCACTGATGATACACAAGCTTTACCTGGAAGCTTTTCTCCCTCACAAGAGTATTTGTATTAGACATTTCATTGTGTGCAGTGTGTACACTACATTTGTGTTTTTTCATGCAAAGACATTTACCAGAGGTCAGACCTCATCTAATTGTATGCCTCATCTCATTGTACTTGGTTTGAACTTCAGTGATACAGGCTGGTTGCAATTGAACCAGTTAACCCTATTTCTCCCCATGCCCTGCCTAATATCAATATCCTCACCAATGCCCTAAAGAAAAGAAAGATAGGTGGAACTTTATTGATTCAACTCAGTTTTCCACTCTGTTTTTTATACACGCACATGCATTTTTTTGTTATACAGTTACATACAAATACACACAGTTATATTCGTCAAGTCCCTACAGACTGAACCACTGCCGCCCAACAGAGGTCGAAGGGATCTATATAATCTACAGACCCTAGTACATCTTCCTAGGAACATAAATGGACTTCATGTTTTCCTTATCATTTATTGTTTGATGCCGCTGTTCAGTTTGAAGGCTTAATATGAAGTGACAGCCAGGTTTGGATAGATATGCTTAGCAAAGGAAAGGGCACAGAACAGGAAATAGTCTGGTTTATTCAGTCCAAATGTTGCAAAATCTAAAGACAGCAGCCTAGAATTAACTCATTAACATCTACAGTGGAGGAAATAAGTATTTGATCCCCTGCAGATTTTGTAAGTTTACACTTAGTCTGTCATTTAAAGGTAGGTTTATATAAACAGTGAGAGTAAGAATATCAAAAAGAAAATCCAGAAATTGACATTATATAAAAGATACACATGTATTTGCATTTAACTGTGAAATAAGTATTTGATCCCCTTGCAGAACATGTGTTAGTACTTGGTGAGAAACCCTTGTTGGACACACAGAGGTCAGACGCTTCTTGTAGTTGATCTCCAGGTTTGTGAATATCTCAGGAAGGATGTTGGTCCACTCCTCTCTGAAGATCCTCTCCAAATCCTTCAGGTTTTCAGGCTGATGCTTGGCATCTGGAAGCTTCAGCTCCCTCCACAGATGTTCTATGGGATTAAGGTCTGGAGACTGGCTAGGCCCCTCCCTCACCTCAATGTGCTTCTTCTTTAGCCACTCCTGTGTTGCCTTGGCCGTATGTTCAGGGTCATTGTCCTGCTGGAAGACCCCTCCGTGACCCATGTTCAGTGTCCTGGCTGAGGGAAGGAGGCTATCGGCCAAGATGTTACGGTACATGGCCCCGTCCATCCTCTCCTCGATGCAGGTCGTCCTGTCCCCTTAGCAGAGAAACACCCCCAAAGCAGAATGTTTCCACCTCCATGCCTGACGGGGGGGGGATGGTGTTCTGGGGGTTATAGTCAGCATCTCTCTTCCTCCAAACACGGCGTGTCCAGTTCATGCCAAAGATCTCGACGTTGGTCTCATCTGAACACATCCTCTTCTACCAAGCCTCCTCTGAATCATTCAGATGTTCGTTGTCAAACTTCAGACGGGCCTCTCATGTTCTTCTTGAGCAGGGGGGGGGGGGGCCTTCAGGGGCTGCAGGATTTGATCCATTATGGTGTAGCTTGTTCCCAATAGTTTTCTAGGTGACTGTGGTCCCAGCTGCCTTGAGATCATGAACAAGTTCCTCCTGTGTAGTTCTGGCTGATCCCAGACCTTTCTCATGAGCACCAATACCCCACGGGGCCAGATCGTGTGTGGAGCCCCAGACCGAGGGCGACTGATGCTCATTTTGTCTTTCTTCCATTTCTGAATAATGGCACCAACAGTTGTCTCCTCCTCACCAAGCTGCTTTCTGGTGGTCTTGTAGCCAGTCCCAGCCTGGTGCAGGTCTACAGTCTGGTCCCTGAGGTCCTTAGACAGCTCTTTGGTCTTGTCCATGGTGGAGAGTGGAATCTGATTGATTGATTCTGTGGACAGGTGTCTTTTATACAGGTAACAAGTTGATATTAGGAGTACTTTCTTAAAGGAAGAGGACTCATGTAACCGGTCTGTGGGAGCCAGAATCCTTGTTTGTTGCAAGGGGATCAAATACTTATTTCCCACAGTTAAATGCAAATACATTTTTATCTTTTATATAATATCAATTTCTGGATTTTCTTTTTGATATTCTGACTCTCACTGTTTATATAAACCTACCATTACAATTATAGACTGTTCATTTAATTGTAAGTGGGCAAACTTACAAAATCTGCAGGGGATCAAATACTTATTTCCTCCACTGTATGTCAAGATGTTCAAACAACAATTTGTAGTTTTATAAGTGACTGAATGTTGTTCAGTCACTTGTTGCACCCCCCCGGCCAAGCAATAGACAAATGATCTCTGTCAATCTGTTCATTTTTATTTGATCATACAGTTGAATCCAGATGGTGTTTGAATGCGATGAATTCACATGCCTGTGACCTACCAAATATGTACAGTTTTGGATTTAACAGAGCCCCAGCCAGCGCTGAACGCTCTGAAGTCTTCATTTTGTTTCTGTATTGCTTTGACTTGATGCTGTGAACCTGTTTTTATCATACTTGTTTCATGCAATGAACTGTTCAGCCTTGTACCAGCTGTGCCTTCAATAGTGTGTGACATGTAAATGTACAGTATTAAGCTTTACACCAGGTTGTAAAACATTCCAGGTTAAAATGCACAAAAGCTGTTTTTTCTTAAATGGATCCTGGTTATTTTTATAGAGTAATTAAGAGAAATGTATTTGCTTTTGATTTGTCTATTAAACTGTCAATGTTTTGGAATAAATGGAATTACTTTTCAGAATAACTATATTCATTATAATTGTTAATGCACACACAACTGCTGCATAGTCTGTATTTGAATAATATATATTCACTGTAAAATATTACCATGATTTCACAATATTTAGCTGTAATATTTGACAATAAATTAGTTTTACCACTTTACAGTCTTTACCTGTAATGTTCACAATATAATACTGTCATTTTGAATTTCACAGTGAAATCAATGCAGGCAGTTCATTACTGTGAATGTACAGGATAAATGATTACCAGGATTTCACAACATGTTACTGTATTATTTCACAGTAAAATACTGTATTCAGACCATCCTCTGTGATAACACAACAAATTAAGTGATTTGCTTTTGTCGCTCTTGCTTGGCTTTAAATACTAATTTCTGTCTTTGGTGCAGGTCTTTAATTAAATTGAAAGGGGCACCGCTGCATGTGTCTTAAAATAAACGATGCAACATATAAATCTATGTCAAATTGAAATTGTTGTCTTGGCTTATTGTTTTCAGGTGCTTCCTGGGACGGGCTCGAAAGCCAAAAAGAGGCATGGCAATTTAAACCCCCATGTCAGCACATTCTTCAGAACAATTGTTGACTTTGAGTGGATGTCTGTGTAGACAAGTGCTCCCCTCCTTGTTTTCTGCACCTGGTCTGCCCCTGGCTCCGCCTCTGCCCAGGTGCACCTGGTCTGCCGCTGGCTCCGCCTCTGCCCCTGGCTCCGCCTCTGCCCAGGTGTTCCAAATTCCACTCAGCCGTGTATATATAAAGAGAAGCTGGAGGAGAAGGATGTCTTGCCTATCCTAACGCCGGGAGACACTCTCCTCAGAATACTTCTTTGCCATTTTGAGCTGTCGGCCATATTTTTGCAGATGTGTTTATGTTTAGCCTGGAGGACCTGGTAGTGCAGTTTTCGTGGCTTTATTTTGTTTCCCATAGGGTTTATATTTGATTTCTGGTTAGGGGGGGGAGCTCTGGGTCCTACGGCCCGTGGTGTGGCTGGCTCGGGTTCCCTCCTTCTGTTTGTCCCTTTTGGCCAGTCCTCTTTTTGTTTCCCGTTTTGCTTGTGTGAGCAAACGGCTGATTATCAATAAATGCTCGTTGCCAAGTACCAATTATTGCGTGTATTCTTTCATGTTGCGGGTCTCAGCACGAGCCACTACCGCGGAGTAGAGGTTGGGGCCGTAACAACATGTCCAAGACACTGTGAAATGTACTTTGCACTTCAATAGAGTAATAAAAAGTTAAAATGGGCATTTTCTTTGTTTTTCTTTGTTGATTGAGCTGATTGAATTGTGTAGTTATGGTAAAATCCCAGTTAACTAGTCAGATTTACAATATATTATCGTATTATTTACATTTTTATATTTACAGTAAATTACTGGCTACTGTGTTGCATTACTTCTACAGTAAAAGTGTGAAAATACAGGTAATTACTGTAATTTATGTACAGCAAGGTACCATAATACCACAGCTCTGTACTGCTACATCACAGTACTTCCATGGGCATGGGAACTGTAAAGTCACAGTATTTAGTTGTACTTTTATTCTAATTTGCTGTAAAATATCTACAGTAAATTACTGTGAAATATTTACAGTCAATTACTGTGAAATATTTACAGTAAATTACTGTGAAATATTTACAGTAAATTACTGTGAAATCCATGCAACTAGTAGCCAGTAATTTACTGTAATTTTACAGCCAAACATTTTACAGTGTTGATAAGAAATACTGCCATTTTCATGCCTGGTTCACACACGTGTTCAGACATAAGGTTAAGACTCATCTTCAGTTCATTAATACATTTGAAAACCTTTGACAGTTTTACAATGATAAATATGTATTTATTTTCCCTTCCCTCAGCAATAGCCCTCAGTACTTTCCTCTATTTCCACTTTACGATGACCACGTGTTTGTGTCCAGCTTGACATTCTGCTTCTTCTCTTCCAGTAAGAGAAGTAAATCAGGTTTAGGGAATGGCTGATTTGATTGCACATGTGAATCTGGCATAGTGGGCTGAATGCCCTTCTCCCTTTTCCAAAGACTTTAGCATACCAAGAAGAGCTAGCACTCTGATTGTAAGGTCGCTGAAGCTTCTGGAATCACCCGGATAAACAGAGTACAAAAGATATTGGTGTGTCTGCCCATATCTCTGCTGTAGATCTGACATAGCTCTGGTGTAAGAAATGGGGATATGTGCAGAGCCCAGAGCAAGGCGACAAGCTGTGTCCAACTTCAAGCGGTCCAATTATGCGTGGTACTTCAACTGTTCGCTGTCACCGTGGAGCAAACTGTCTGGGATCATCCCGGATAAGGTAAGTGGAGGTTGCAACAGGAGGGACACTGTAGGACCTGAGTGATGGATGGAAATGAATAAGGGTGAGTGGTGCAGCCGGGCATTAACATAAGGAGGAGCAGCCTGTGAGGAAAACGCCTCTGCAGGAACTGGATACGGCTGACGAAGGTCAAGGGAGCTTTGGGCTGCTTGGAAGAAGGTTCTAGATGATTCACAGCAGTTTGAGGATACTAGTGAGTAGGGGTTAACAAGCTGCAGGGCTTGTGAGGAGGCTAAGAGGCACAGCTTCTCTTTGCACAGGGTGCTGCATTTTGGAGAACTCTGTCTCACTGTAGGTATGCCGGGATTGAAGGCAACTTTAAGAAATTATGGAGAAGGCCTGAATGTATGAGGCACGGCCAATGCATTTTCTCGAACGAGATCAAAGACAGGTGGGGGCAGCCTTTCTGGATCTCTGTTGCAGATCTTCCTGGAATCTGGAAAAATAAGAAACCCAACTGAATGGCAAATTATTCTTCTCGTCATTACATCATGTCAGAGGAGGGCAAAACGGAGAACCAGTGTGTGTGTGTGTGTGTGTGTGTGTGTGTGTGTGTGTGTGTGTGTGTCAACACAACTGTTTTTGGTTATATGTCAATAAGAGGAGAACATTTGTCTACAGCACCAGATTTGAGTCTTCTACTTTTATCAAATGTGTGTCCAAAAGGCAGACATTTTCCAAGACAGTGAGATGAAGTTCAAGGCTCAGAAAGCGAGGTAGGAGACCACCGGGTTCCCAAACCCACACGATCCCAAAAGTCAAATCCAAATGTTCAGAAGCTTAGTGCAGCATGTTTCTAATAATTAAATAAAACATTATTTTCAAGAACATAAATAACATTTGGAGTTTATTACAGTGTGTTGGTCTGACTGCAGCACAGAGTGATGTGTTAGGGCTCATGGGAGGAAGGAAGTGGAATGCTGTCTGTGAACAGTTCTCCAGGATATCCTACACACACACACACACACACACACACACACACACACACACACACACACACACACACACACACACACACACACACACACACACACACACACTAATACACTATCACATACATGTCAAGGGGTCAAAAGAAAAGTCGAGCTATGGGAACATGACAAACACAAGAAGGTGCAGGTCTATAGTCTATACATAAAGAGAACAGTATCAGGGAGCTGTGGTTTGTACAGGGGGAAGTTGTAACGAGGAACTTCCTAGACAGTTCTCCACTGTAGGTGAACCTGAAGTCGGAATCACATCCAGCCGTGATTGTGTTTTCAAACACAATACCAGAGAACAGCTGTCTCTCTCTGTGTTTCTCTGCATAACATGTGCCATTGCCAGTAAGTAGCTAATCAATCCCGGATGGCATCTTTCAATTGGGCGGATAAAATAAGTAATAATAATAATAATAAATTATATTTATATAGCGCTTTTCATGAACTCAAAGACGCAAAGTATAAAAGAAAAGTGCCAGAATGGGCCGTGCAGTAAATGGCGGACCAGTATGATTATGTGAAGTAGGATGGACACATTTAATAGAATTGGTTATTATATATTTGCCTGCATTTGCGAAAAGCTTCCACTCAAGCATAGGTGTATACAAAGGAAATGTAGAGAACTTAGACATTAGCTACTCTTTGTGGCAATATGCATATGGCCTAATCCAAACCATCAATTGTTAATAGTAGACTGTCAATAGTAAGGGAAATAGAAAGTGCAACCATACGTAAACCTGCATTTACTGCTGCTATACTCCATGTTTACTTATCTTGTGTCTAGCATATCTGTGAGATATCACAATAATTTAATATGGACTAATGCATTTGCCATATTTAGGCCTAAAACTGCACTGAACATCACAGCACGAAAAACAACATGCTGAGTTGTCCTGCTTTGTGATTGACTCACCACTAGATGGAGACATTTCATACATTCATTTCTTGAATTTGAGTTGCCGAGTATAACCAAGCCTATATGAGCAAGTGGATATTTTGACTTGACTTGAATTTTTAGATCAGAATCAAACTTAGGGAATTTTATTTTTTGATTGAATAAAACGCACTCGGGTTAAATCTTCCATTCAAAGAGTATTTTTCTTTTAAGCCCACTGTTGAGAGTGCTCCTATACATATACATCCCAAATTTTGTTGGATCCTCAAATTAATATTAAAGGTTTGTTGTCATTTTTGGGCTGTTCGCCTTCTCTCGAAGATTTGTCTGATATATAGTCTGGTTTTCCTCAACATCATTAAGAACACACACATAACCCTTCAGCCAAAACACACACACATTAGAGACAAATGATGTTTCTGCATAGTGACATCTTTTTAGCCTCCAGTGTACCATCCATCCAGACTGCAAATAGCTTTCCTAGCTTTGACTTTGTCTGCTGTTTGTTGCTTCCAATCTGTTCTCGACCATGGAAAAAGAGTTATTGAGAATAATGTTAATAAGGGATGTTTACTATGCAAGCATATCTTTAAATATTTTTTGTCAAATGTGTTTGTTTGGAACCAGTAAAAAAAAAATGACTCACAGTGATCACATGTTCAGTTTCCTGAGAGTAATTTCATTAAAAGCAGAGGCCAAAATCATTTCAAGGTACTCCCTTTGGTGGTTTTTCATCTTTAGTTTTAGCTCTCTGTTAAGGACAACATGGGAATGCACTGCAAACACATTCCACTTCTCGTTAAGAAATCAAAGCTTGATCCTGAGGTTATGGCCAACTACAGACCAATATCTAACCTTTCCCTCCTCTCTAAAATCATCGAGAAAGCAATCCCTCAACAGCTGTGTGAGTACTTAAATAACAATCAATTACTTAAGAATGTCCAATCAGGCTATATAATTCATCTCAGCACAGAGACAGCACTAGTGAAGGTCACAAATGACCTTCACATTGCATCTGAAAATTGACTTCTTTCTATCTTGGTACTGTTAGACCTGAGCAGTGCTTTCGATACCATTGACCACAACATCTTACTACAGAGATTAGAACAGTCAATTGGCATAAAAGGTACTGCACTAAACTAGTTTAGGTCATATCGGTCAGAACGGCTTCAGTTTGTATCTGCTCATGATGAATCCTCAATGAAAACCACACTCAATCATGGAGTGCCGCAAGGTTTTGTCCTCGGACCCATTTTGTTCCCTCTAAATATGTT